TCTCTCCGCCTCCGGGCGCAGTCGGGGCGGGAGCCAGGCGCTCCTTTGCGCGTTGCCAGCTTTGTCTGCCCGCTGCCCTCTGTCCGGTCCGGGGTCTCGCTCATTCCCGTCCTCTCCTCCGTCTCTCTTCCCCGAGGGCTGCGGCGCCAGGCCGGGATGGGAGAGCCCACCCTGGGGTGCGGTGCACCCTTCCCGCGGCCACCTGTGGGCGCCGGGCTCTGACTGCCTCACATCGCGGGGAAACAGCGAGGACGCTTCCGTGCAGAGGAGAGAGAGAGGAGAGTTGGTGAGGACTCAGAGGGGAGTCTTTGTCGGAGACAGGAGAACGGCCCATAGGCAGACCCATCTCCCAGCTGCACTTTGAGTCCATTACAGGAGGCAAAGGGAAGCTTGTTCTTCGGGGAATGTGCAGAGGAAGGCTGGGGTGAGGCAGACCCTGCGCCCCCTCTCCCTTCATTCACCTTGGCTCTGAGTTAGAACAGCCAGGCAGGAGATGTGGTTTTCCCGAACCCGAACCAACCGTCACAATTCCAGGCACTGGCTGCCAGCTGCTCCGAGAGAGGATGGGAGCTCTCTCCTCCAGCCCCGGAGGGGAAGCCGTTCCCCATCACACACACTCTAGTCCGACTCCTGGTAATGGACATAGACGATGACTTTTCCTAGTAAACTTTTAAAAAAAATATGTTGTTTTTTTTTTTTTAAATTAATTTCTGATTGGAAGGGAGAGGGAGAGACAGAAACACCAGTGATGAGAGAACCATGGACTGGCCGCCTCTGGCACACCCTCCCACTGGGAATCCAACTGCCACTTCCTGGTTCACAGGCGGGCCCTCAACCACGGAGCCCCACCAGCCAGGCCCCTGGAAAACTTTTCGTAAGGTGCTCATCTAGTGCATAGTATGGCACATCAGATGGCAGGAGGATACTAAAAGTAGTAGAGGACAGGATGCTTGCTTTCCAGTGGCTTCCAGTTTAGTAAGAGAAATTTGGTGACTCTTAAGGAATGGTCTTGGCCCCAGTGTTGTATTTATAGAGATAGCTCTACCATTGTAAAGTTCAATCAGGAATAAATCTCTCATTGAGTCAAACAATGGTTTTCATTTGATCTCCATTCATTCATTCATATCCTCACCGAGGATATTTTTTCCATTGATTTTTTTTTTTTTTTCTTTAGAGGTAGTGGAGGGGATGGGGAAAGGGAGGTAGACAGACATAGATCGAGAGAGACATATCAGTTGGTCGCCTCCTCCATGTGCTCTGACCAGGGTCCGGAATGGAACCTGAAACCCTGGTAGGTGCCCTTGACAGAGAATTGAGCCTGAGACCCTTCAGCACATGGCGGAAGCTCTAACCACTGACAACACTGGCTAGGGCAGGAGAAAGTTTTGAAGAAAGATCAAAGGGAAGGCCAATGCAACCTTTGCCTTACATTAGAGACTGTATGTGAAGGTTGAAACCATTCTGCTGGAAAATTTGTTGGCCTTACTTCAGGTTTTAAAATTTAAAACATCGCTTTTACTACATAAACATCTTTGAGTGAATTTAATCTGTTTGATCTTTTAAGAAGTTTAGTAAGTTATGACATCCACTTAAATGAGTCAAAACTCCCCCCCCCCCCAGTTTTTATATACTCATCAATGTAAATGTAATTTTGTTCTTTCACTTTATTGACAACTGAAAAATCACAAACTTAGTTGCTCAACTGACATGTATTAGGTAGATTCCACCTGTTATATGGAAGGTAACTGTTTGTCTCAGGCTTAAACGCTCTCTAGTTTTTTAAGTTTGAAGTAATTTCAGTTGTTAAAATATATAAAGGGTCTCCAGAAGTTTACATCAAGGAAGGAGTGGGGGAGGAGTGGACTACAAAGTGCTCACTTGCTTCATACTTGTTTTTAAATCTGGTTTCTAAATTTCTTCACCAAACTTAGAGTGCATGTGGTTTTCATTGTGGGTGGAGAGAGGATAGGGGCTGACAAATAAGGAACCACACCCAAAACCAAACAGTTTTTTTTTTTTTTAATCCTCACCCAAGGACATTTTCCACTGATTTAGACAGAGGGGAAGAGAGAGAGAGAAAGAAAAACATCGATGTGAGAGAAATATAAATCCGTTGCCTCTCCCACTTAAGTGCCCTGAGCGGTGAGGGAAGGAACCTGCAATCCAAATACATTCCCTGATGCAGAATCAAACCCGAGACCTTGCTAGTGCATTGCTAACTGAGCTACATTGGCCAGGGCCAAACACAGCTGTTTGTGTTTGTGTGTGTGTGTTTTTAAAAATATATTTTTTATTGATTATTATTATTTTTTTTAGAGAGAGAGGAAGGGAAAAGGATAGAAAGATAGAAACATCGATGAGAGAGGAAGTTATTGATTGGCTGCCTCCTGCATGTTTCCCTCTGGGGATTGACCCTAACTGGGAATAGAATCAGTGATTTCTTGGTTCCTGGATCGATGCTGAACCATTGAGCCACACCAACCAGGTTTTTGTGTGTTTTTTAATTCTGATATACTATAAACACTTGAGTTTGCTTTGGTATTAACAGAAACGTCCCATAAAAAAATATAACATCTATATATAAAAGCCTAAGCGACCATTACAACAGAACAATCAGAATGACCAGTTAACCAGTCGCTATGATATGCACTGACCACCAGGAGGCAGATGCTTAACACAGGAGCTGCCTCCTGGTGGTCAATGTGCTCCCAAAGCCAACCTCCTGTGGAATCCCCCACCCCCCACCCCCTGGCCAAACTCCCACGGCCCTTACCCCTGGCCAGCCATCACTCTGTTCCCCTCCCCCATATAGACCCCAGTCAGGACCAGCTGGCCAACCTCCCAGTGTCCCTTCCCCCCCTTTCCAGCTAGCTGGCCCCTTGGTAGGCCTCCATCACTGGCCAGGCAGAGGGACCCCACCCGTGCAGGAATTCATGCACTGGGCCTCTAGTTTTACAGTAAGGTAGAGCTGAATTCAGTGTCTGAAAACTGATCATTTTGGCACATCATTAATCAAAATGTTTGACTCTGAAGTAGAGCCTTGATTTTGAACCTCTTTGCTCTGAAGGGATTATTCTTTGTTTTTTTTTTTTTTCCCCCTGAGTATATTTTATAAACTGTTTAATGTTGTCTTTTTTCTTAGTAATAACATTCCTTAAAAGCCTTAATTTGATTTACCAAGCAAAAACCTATTGAGTATTAAGGGGAGAACCTTGAGAAAATTTTTCATCAAATGCACTAACTTTAAAAGTGGACCTTAGGCCGAAACCGGTTTTGCTCAGTGGATAGAGCGTCGGCCTGCAGACTGAAAGGTCCCAGGTTTGATTCTGGTCAAGGGCATGTACCTTGGTTGCGGGCACATCCCCAGTAGGGAGTGTTCAAGAGGCAGTTGATCGATGTTACTCTCTCATCAATGTTTCTAACTCTCTATCCCTCTCTCTTCCTCTCTGTAAAAAATCAATAAAATATATTTTAAATAAAAGAGAGAATTGACATCTTTAAAAAATATATAAATAAAAATAAAAGTGGACCTTAGCCTCTCCTTATTTTTTAGTCAGCTTTATTTTGGGATGAAAAACACAGACTTAAGAGCGTCAGGTTGCATGGGAGGAAGACATGATAAGGATAAAATATAAACATCATTGCCAGTGCTGGAGCAAGTCAAGGTTGGCGAGCATTCTGGCTAAGTGTGACAGTATAGGTTGGCAAAACTTTCTGGGGGGAAATGAGATTTAAATTTAGGGGAAAATGTTCTATCAGCTATTTAAACTGTTAGTATTGGCTTTGTCAAATGTAAAACTATGAACTTATGGTGCCTTTTTTTTTTTTTTTTTTTTTTTTTGTATTTTCCAGTCACTAAAATTATGGTTTAGTTTTTTTCTTTGTAATATTGTTTCCATCATAGATCTTTGTTTTAATTAGAAAATTCAAGTATATAACAAATATTTATCAAATAGACATATCAGAATACATACTAGTACATACCTATAGATGAGCATTTTAGTCAAATTTTTTAAAACTGTAGAAATTTTAAATTTAAAAGTTATTGGTAACTTAATCGTAACAGTACATAGTCATTGAAGAAAACGTGGAAAGCATAAATAATAAAAGATTTATTATATTGAGATCATGGGAAAATTCTGTTTTGTAACATATTTTCACCTGGATTGAAAACATTTCCCCTCACAAACATTTGAACATATTTATTTTAAATATGTTTTTATTGATTTTAGAGACAGGGGAGGGGAGGGGGAAAGATAGAAACATCAATGATGAGACTCATTGATCCTCTGCCTCCTGCATACTCCCTATTGGGGATTGAGCCACAAACTGAGCATGTGCCCTGACAGAATCAAACCGTGACCTCCTGGTTCATGGGTAGATGCTGAACCACTGAGCCACACTGCTGGGCTGAACATAGTTTAATTATCTGAATATTATTTTATTATATGACTTATAATGTAATCATTTCTGTTGTTGGATATTCAAGTTATCAGTATTTCTAGTTTTCCTTTGTTTACAATGTTGCCTTTTGAACTCTCTTATGTATGAATCTTATGGGTCTTGATTTCTCCAAGGTAGCTTCCTAGATGGCAAAGAATTACAGAGTCTATAGTATATATTCTTAATTTACACATATGGTATCATGATCATGTTTTCTTTTTAAAAATGCAAAACTGATTTAAAGATACATTGATGCCACTTTTTGGTACCAATGATGGCACAGTGACCATCCTCTGTAATGTACATCCTTATGGATGCTACCTTAAGAGTCTGTGTGACAATTTCTCTAGGTCTTTTACCTAGGGATGGTATTTCTGGGTCATGGGACATTGGTATATACTTATTTTCACCAAGTATTTGTCTGGCTTTTGTTATTTACTTGTTTGTCCTCCATAAAAGTATGAATTTACATTTCTACTTATAAGGTAGGAGAACACATAATTGGTAGGTTCTAATTCCAAGATTAAAAACTCCTCTTTTCTTTGTTTCTAGCAGCCATGGCAATGACCGGCTCAACACCTTGCTCGTCCATGAGTAATCACACAAAAGAAAGGGTGACAATGACCAAAGTGACACTGGAGAATTTTTATAGCAATCTTATCGCTCAACATGAAGAACGAGAAATGAGGTAAAGAATTTAAAGAAAATTGTGTTATGTTTTTGGCATTTATGTTTGGTATCATAAAGCACCTTCATGATATTGTTGAAAGGAGACAAGAATAACAGCAACCATGTTTATAGCCTATCGCATTACAGTAGAATGACAGTGCCATTGATTTCCAAAGCCCTTGCTATTATAACCCACTCATTTCTACTACTAAGTCAGTAACTCAGTATTCCATGGTAGGATAAAACAATTAATTGGGCCAAATCCGTGGAGTTCACTAAGGCAGCGTGATGTAATGGAAAGAGCAGCTCTTATGTAGTCAGACTTGGGATTATAATCCTGCCGTTACCATGTAGTAGGCTGTATGAGGTTGGGACAAGTTCCTTAGTCTGTGTATCAGTTTCCTCATTTGGAAAATGGGGATTAGACTTAACATATGTGAGTACCTGCCATAATGCTTACACATAATAATCACTTAGTTAATGGTGGTAGTAGCAGCTATTTTTACTGATCTGGTGTATATTATTCATGTAGTAACTCATAATTACAGTTTATTCCCAGTATTTTATTATGAAAATATTTGAAATTGTAGATAAATTGAAAGAATTGTACAGTGGATACCCATAAATACTTCATCTAGATTCTGCAATTAATTGTTGTTTAAAAAAATAATTTGTTGTTTTATTATAAATTCATGTATCCATTCCTCTATCCATTTTATCTTTTAATTTTTTTGCTGTACATGTTTCAGATGTCAGTATATTTTACTTCTATATGTTTCTGCTTGTATAGGAACTAGAGTTCAATATTTTAAGGAAATAAAATTTGTATGCAATGAAATGTACTATCTTAAGGGTTGCCATTCAATGAGTTTCGACAAATGCATAGTAGTACACCTGTATGATTTAAACCTCTGTCAAGACATAAACCATTGTCCCTGAAAGTTCGTTCACTCCTGGGATATTCTTTCACCCCCAGGAACCATTGCTATGACTTTGTTTCTACCACTGATGGTCTTGCCTGTTCCATCAAATGGAACATGTTAATAGGTCCATAGAATAAGTGCTCATTTGAGTAAGGCATCCTTCGCTCATCCTGATGCCTACAAGTACATTCATGTTGCTATTGTGTCAGTAGTTTGTTCCTTTATATTGCTGAGTACCGTTCTGTTTTTTTACTATACCTCAGTTTGCTTATACATTCTGTTGATAAACACCTGGGCTCCTCTCAGTTTTTTGCTATTTTGAATAAGTTTCTATGCACATTTGTTATAGATCTTTTTGCGAACATTTGTTTTTAGTTCCTGGGTAAATTTAGGAGTGGAATTGCTGAGTCATAAACATATGTAGGCACATGTTTAGTTTTATAAAAAATTGCTAGACTTTTTTCCAAAATATTACCAATAGTGTATGAGAATTCTAGTTGCTTTACATTTTTGCTAACATTTGTGTTGTCAGTCTTTTATCTTACACCTGTTCTCATGGATGTGTAGGGGTATCTTACTGTTGTTTTAATTGCATTTCCCTGGTGATTAATGATACTGAACATTTTTCAGTATGCTTTTGGCCATTTGTATATTTTCTTGTGAAGTGTTTATTCATATTTTTGACCACAGAGTTGCAGGGGGTTCTTTATATATCCTAGATACTGTCCCTTGGTTATATATAAGTTTTGCAAACAGTTTCTTCCAGTCTGTGACTTTCCAGTTCATTTTCTTAATGATATCTTTAAGGGAGCAGAAGTTTTCAATATTGGCATTTTTTTCTTTTGTAGTTAATACATTTTGTGACCTTTAAGAAACCTATGCCCACCCCCAAGTCATAAGGATGTCCTATGTTTTCTTCTGGAAGTTTTGTGGATTTAGTTTTTATATTTAGTGCTATAATCCCTCTTGAATTAATAAGTGTGTGATATGAAATAGGAATTGAGATGAATTTTTTCCCATATGGACATTAGTACTATTGGTTGCAAAGATTATTTTTCTCCCCATTAGATTGCTTTGACACTTGTTGAAAATTAAAACCGTATAAGTGTGTATCTATTTCTAGGCTCTCTATTCTGTTTCATTGTTCTATTTACCCCTATGCCAGTATCACATGGTCTTGATTACTATAACCTTGTGGTAAGTTTTGAAGTCAGTAGTGTAAGTCCTCAACTTAGTTCTTTTTTTTTCTTTTTTTTTTTTCAAGATTGCATTGGATATTTTAGTTTCTTTATATTCCCTTATAAATTTTAGAATCATTCATTTGAGAGAGAGAAAGAAACATTGACTTGTTGTTCCACTTATTTATGAATTCCTTGGTTGAATCTTGTATGTGCCTTGACCTAGGATCAAAACCGAAACCTTGGCATATCAGGATGAAGCTTTAACCAACTGAGCCACCCAGCCAGGGTCATTAAATACACACATAAGCCCTAGCCAGTTTGGTACTGTGGCTAGAGCGCTGGCCTGAGGACTGAAAGGTCCTGGGTTCAATTCTGGTCAGGAGCATGTACCTTGGTTGCGGGCACATCCCCAGTAGGGGGTGTGCAAGAGGCAGCTGGTCGACATTTCTAACTCTCTATCCCTCTCAGTTCCTTTCTGTGTAAAATCAATAAAATATATATTAAAAAAAAATAAAATAAAATTAATGGAAAAATATCCTTGGATGAGAATTAACAAAACAAAACAAAAAAATACACACATAGCTAGAAAAGACTAATACAGTGAACCACCTTAGATTCAATAATTATCAAGACTACACTAAATTTGTTTAATCAGTTTTTTCTTGTTATTGTGTTTTATAGCAAATTTCAAACATCTGCCATTTCAATCCTGTGTACTTCAGTATACATCTCGAAAAGTATGGCCATTTTCTTGTATCACAATGACACCACGAATCTAACAAAGTCCAGTAATTCCATGGTATCATCTCACAGAGGATGTCAAGCCTCATTTTAGGCTGTGCTTGTCATTTTGTTGTCTTCAAGGTCTTTGTTGACTTGGCCCCAGTAAATCGTTACCAGGGATCATTCTGTATAATAGGCCTTTAATGGATATACTAGGGGCTCAGTGCACGAATTCATGTTTCTTGAAAGGAACTGTATGCTGTGAGGCAGTGGTGGACACAAAGGCAGGTATTGGCCCATCCTCTGCACCCCTGCCTGGCCCTTCCAACCTCGGTTCCTGTCTGCCGGCAGCCCCACTTGAGCCACCTGGTATCAGCCCCACTTGTACCCACTAATGGCCAGGACCCAGCAATGGATGCAAGTGGGGCCATTGCTGGCAGCAAGTGCAAGAGGTGGCTGCTGGCCCTGATTGCCCCTCAGAAGCAGGAAGAAGTGGAGAAGCCCTGAGGGGTGATTGGAGCCAGCAGCTGCTGCTCGTACCCACTGACAGCATCAAGCAGTAGGGCCAGCACCGGGCACCAGCAGTGGGTGTGAGCGGTGGGGGGACTGTGGCAAATGGAGTAAAGAATTTTCAGTAACCACCAGAGGCTTGCCCCAGTGACAGCAACTGGCACCCTGCCTTGGTCTGGCACCCCGCTCACCTGCGCCATCATCCTGCCACAGCCAAGTGCCATATTTCATGCTCTGCCGCCTGCTGTCAACCCCCACCATGCTTTGCACATACCCCCTGGTGGTCAGCACATGTGATAGCAATTGGTTGTTCCACCATTCGATCTATTTGCATATTAGGGTTTTATATATATACCAGAGGCCTGTTGCACAAAATTCATGCACGTGTGTGTGTGTGTGTGTGTGTGTGTGTGTCTGTCTGTCTGTCTGTCTCCCTTCTTCAGTCCAGCCTGCACCCTCTCCAATCTAAGACTGCTGGCTCCTAACTGCTTGTCTGTTTCATTGCCCCTAATCACTTCTGCCTGCCAGCCTGATCACCCCCTAACCACTCCCCTGCCAGCCTGATCGATGCCTAACTGCCCTCCCCTGCCAGCCTGGTCTCCCCAAACTGCCCTCCTCTACAGGCCTGGTCCCTCTAAACTGCTCTCCCCTGCAGGCCTGATCACCCCTAACTGCCCTCCCTTGCAGGCCTGGTCCCTTCCAACTGTCCTCCCCTACCGGCCATTTTGTGGCAGCCATATTGTGTCCAGGGAGTAGTCCTCTTTGACCACATGGGGGCGACTGTCATGTGTATTGGAGTGATGGTCAATTTGCATATTACCCTTATTAGATTAGGATAGATTCTTTAATGAAAGAATCTGATTGTGTTCAAGGGATTGATTCTGACAACTTTACTCTCAGTCAGGTGTTCTGAAACCAATTTAATTACACTTGCAATAAAGCTGTGGAAAACATCTCAGCTTGAATTTAGATTTAAAATATAGTCAGACCTTGTATGCATATCCCATGGACACAGACAATAGGGTGCTGAAGGCCTGGGGCGGGGGCAGGCTGGAGGGGATCAGTGGGGAAAAAAGGGACATATGTAATACTTTCAACAATAAAGAAGTATTTAAAAAAACAGGGGAAAAAATATCCAAAGAATAAAATAGAGTCAGAAGGCCCTGGCTGGGGAGCTCATCATCCCAATTTGTTAAGATTGAGGGCTCCATCCCTAGTCAGTGCACATACAAGAATCAACCAATGAATGCATAAATAAGTGGAACAACAAATTAATGTTTCCCCTTCTCTTTCTCTCCTCCTTTCTTCTCTCCCTACCTCCCTCCTTTTCTCTCTTGCTCTCTATTTTATTTTTTTGCTTCTCTTATTTTATTTTCGGGTTAATCTCACCCAAGGATATTTTTCTATTGATTTCTTTTTTTTTTTTTAAGAGAGAATGGGAGGGAGGGGGAGAGATGCACAGAGAGAAACATCAATATGAGACAGAGTGGTTGCCTCCTTCATGCATCCTGACTAGGGCCAGGGTCCTCTCTCTCTCTCAATAAATGTTTTAAAAATTAAAAATAAACTGTAGTCAGAAGGAGCTGTCTCTGTGACACACATTGTGTGGTGACACTGACTTCTAGCCCAGTCTGGTGTGGTCATTCAGAAAACATGTAGTTTTGGAAGATATGATAATATTTGACACTCAAGGCACAAAAAGAGCTGAACATGGTTGAGTTCTTATAGTTCTTGCTATTGATTGTTTGATTCTTATTCTTCTCTACTTCAACTATTTAGCCACTGAAATGCAATTAATTTACAGTCCTGAAACTACCAGTAGTGCAGCCTTCTCACTCTAATACATGAGCACACATAGGTACATATCCCCGATGTCCTGGGAACTAGAAGAAGCAGATTCTTACTTCTTCCCATGGGGGCAGAGTAGATCTTTTTATGTCCTGAGTGTTCAGACACAAATTCTTACTCATCATCTGATCCTGTGGGTTTGTAATACGATTTCTAACAATATATTCATTTACACTAAACATTATTATTGTAATACACATTCATTGTCTGTCCAGGTTCCTCTTCTGTGTTTCTTATCTTGGTTAGTGGCATTGTCCTCCCACACAAGTACTTCTAAGACTTTTCCCTTGACCTCTATTGCCTGCCTGTTGGTCAACTTTGCAATAGCTCTGTTCTCTTCATTCTAGGTTTCCAGTCCTAGTTCCAGATCCTTACTGCACAGCTGAATCCTTACAATAGCTTTTAATTGCCTGTCAGTGTTTTTCCTGCTAGTCCATTAGCTCATTACTGCTGGTTGCCATTCTAAAATAGAAATCTCATCACATCCTTTGTGCGCAAGCCTCTGTCAGTTCTTAGTCGTTTGCAGACTAAGAGCCAGGCACGCAGGAGTGCTGTGTGCCTCAGCCATGCTAGACTACATGCTATTACTTCATGTACCCTGTACTCTTACTCTTCTTTGCCCTGCCCTCATTGCCTGTCTTCTGGAATGCTAAGCGGTAGAGGGGAGATCCCAGCCCATGTGCCTTCATTGATTATGCTGAGTAAGGAAAGGTTATAGAGAATTGGTTATAAAGAAGTTTTAATTGTTTCTTTTGGTTTTATCAAATCAGTATTAAAATAGATAAAAATATTCTTGAATATAATTTCCAAATATAGTACTCCAATGATTTAGAATTCTTAAGATTTTTCCCTCCCTTTTAGTTGAATTTATTGGGGTGACATTAACAAAATTATACAGGTTTTAGGTGCACAGCTCCACAACTCATCATCTGTACATTATTGTGTGTTCACCACCCAAGTCAAGTCCCTGCCCATCTCCATTTATCCTCCCCATACCCTGCTCTGCCTTCCTCCATTTCCCCTTCCCCCCAGCAGACACCACCCTGTTGTTGTCTTCATGAGTTTTTTTCTCTCCTTTGTGGGTTTTTTTTTTTTGCTCAATCTCTCCCGCCCCCCCTCACCTCTCAACATCCTTTCCCACCCTCCCATCCGCCACCAATTACCTTCCTTGAATATCCTGCATTTCACCTTTGTTGTTTATTATTCTTTGTGGCAAGGAGAAGGAAGATGTGAAAATAAAGGAAGTAAATATCTGGGAGAGAGAGAGAAACACCTTGATAGGAGGTTATCAAACACCAGCTGTTTGTGGTTTGTCAAGGAGGAAATACAGTTCTGACCGGAAAAAAAAAAACAACAGAGAACTTTTCATTTCGAAATAAGATTGTTGCATTAACATCTTATACAATCTGTTTCAAAATGGTGAATTAATGAGTGGGAATCTTTTCACTTGTTTTAGTAACTGTAAATTGTTACTTTAATGAGATCTTTTAAGATTTATCTGTTTTTGTCATCAAAAATAATTCTTAACGTTTGTATGGACTTTCCAGGAAACTACATTCAAATATTATTTCACATCTTTATTATTTTTAGGCAAAGGAAGTTAGAAAAAGTGATGGAAGAAGAAGGCCTAAAGGATGAAGAGGTAATTGAAGTCAGAATTTTTTTCTCTTGAAACTCAGCATGGCAGGTTATATCTTGTTCAGCAAATTGTTAGTCTTAGTGCACGGGGAAGGCTCCGGCTCAGCAACAGAACCTTAGGCGGCTGGTGTGCTTGGAGACGGAGGTGTTCATGCAGAGGGAGTAGTTAATTAGTAAGCAGTTAGGAGAGGAACTTCTCCAGGTACAGTCATAGCAGATCAATTGGAATTAATTTAGAATTCCAAGAAAAGGAAGAGATGAAACCAAATTAAAATGTTAAAAAGCAAAGTATAGCATACGTACAGAAATAACTAAAAAGACAACCCTTTCCTCTAATGCCTCAGATATGGTGGGGGGAAATAGTTAATAACTGCAAGGAACTGAAATGGCAGTGGAAATACTTTCAAATGTAGGAATAAATTACAGAACCCAGGGAAATGGTGAAAAGTACCCCAGACTTATAGAGATAATAGAAAACCAGATCGTAAAATGAACTGCAATGTGTAAAAATCCTAGAGGGAAATTAAAAACATACACACTTTTATATAACGAAGGTTAAAGGAAATGTTGGCGATCCCTCCTTCATTAGAAAGGATAGAATAGCAGGTTGCTGAGAGGTGGGTGTGAGTCCTGAGAGGAAGCACCCACTCCCTGTCCAGTGTGGTGTGCTTTGTGTCTGAAGGCCGGGGAGGGAGAAGGGAGCAGTGAGCATCCTCTGGTGCTTTGGTGGGTGAGGAGATCATGCTTAGTCTGGTGTGGTTCTGGTTTCCAGATGGGTAAAGTCACAAATATGACTTCTTTGCGGAATTTCAATTCCTCCCCTTCCAACCCTTCTCCCCCTTTATTTAAACATTAGAAACGACTCAGGCGATCAGCTCATGCTCGGAAGGAAACAGAGTTTCTTCGTTTGAAGAGAACAAGACTTGGATTGGAAGATTTTGAGTCCTTAAAAGTAATAGGCAGAGGAGCATTTGGTGAGGTAAAAACCCCTCAGCTACAGCTACTTATCCAATGCGAAAGCCCACGGCACTCAAAGCTTCTAATGTGCCATGAGCTCGTGACTGTTGATAAAACTGAAATATGAGTAGGTGGGTTCAGCATGCCAGCCCCACACCCTCACGGCTCTGTCTGCCTCTTCTTCCCTGCTCCACTGTCCCAGCTCTCAGATTGTTCTTCTCTGCTGATGTTGATGTTTTAAATATTGATGTAGGAGAGTTGAAAGGTAGAAGAGAACCAATACTTATTATACTGTAGTTTTTCTCCTGTAATCATGACAGTAACTCATAGGTGATTCAGAGAGGATATATGTTGCAGTTCAAAGAGCCATTGACCCTGCAGTATATATCCATTGGTACCAGAAGTCAGTCCAAGTTTCCTGATCTTAAAGCTCTTGTTTTTCCCAGCATGTAACACATCACCTCTCCAGGAGTGAGCTAAAAGTATATCTCCACCTTTATTTTTTTCCTGCCAGACTGGTACAGCTCAAAAAAGATGGCCCTGAGGGACAGGATTTGTAGAAATGAGCTATATAGGGAGTGGTAGAGAGTTGAGAGGATTTGTAGCTTTGTCCAAGTTAGTCCTGCAGTTGCATCCTGCTTGGTCACAAGAGCAGTCTGGTGGGGAGGGTGTGCATGAGCCCATGCAACATCATTTCCATTAATGGAAAACATCCAGAGAGCCAGTTTCATTATCTATAATATAATTTTTAAAAAAAAGCATAATATGCTAATTAGACCAGACATCCTTCCAGACAGCCTTCCCAATGAAGCTGTTTCCCTTCAAGGCATTTTTCCTATGCATGAGCTTTTGCTATTGTTTTAAATGTTGCTGTAATCACTTAGGTTTTCTGAGCTGAATGCATGACATGAGCCACGGGTTTAATGAGTCCTTAAGTTTGAAAGTAAGGGTTCTGGATTAGATTGCTTTGTTCTACTAGGAAGCCAAAGCAGATGTTTCTAGCACTGACTTCACTGGGTGTAAAATATCTATTTTGGAACTTCAAAAAGCATTTTATTTTGCTTTGTTCTTGCTAGTTGCTTAACTTAAAATTGTTATACTTTTTGCCCGACTGGCATGGCTCAGTGGTTGAGCGTTGACCTATGAGCCAGGAGATCATGGAGTCCCAGTCAGGGCACATGCATACCCAGGTATGGGCTCAATCCCCAGTAGGGAGCATGCAGGAGGCAGCTAATCAATGATTCTCTCTCATCATTGATGTTTCTCTCTCATTCTCACACTCTGAAATCAATGAAAATACATTTAAAAATATTTTTGTACTTTTTCAGTTTAGATATTGCTTCCTATAACACATGAAAGCATTAGCTTGGCATTGTGAACTTCTAACTTGGCATTCTTTTAATAACTTTTAGGTTCGGCTTGTTCAGAAGAAAGATACAGGGCATGTGTATGCAATGAAAATACTCCGTAAAGCAGATATGCTTGAAAAAGAGCAGGTAAAACACAATTGTAGTTGGGATTTCAGTTAGCTGGTGAACTTTTTGTCTCCTAAACTGTTCTTTTTGCTTATTTGAAATGTATATTCTGATTACAGTTTTCTTTAGCTCTGTCATGTATGAATATATGTAGAGTATTACTTTTTTTTTAAATCAACAAAGAAATAGTAGTTACATATATTGTAAAAGTACAAGTAATGTTTCTATGTTTATGCAATCTTTAAAAGTTGAAAGCCTATTAGAGAAGCCCCTGCTGATCACAAGCTGTCTGTGTCATGAGCCTGTTTTGAGGTTACACTTGAATGTGGTAGCGTGTTTCCTACTGAAAGCTGAGAGAGAGAAACTGTACATACACCTTGGGACTGAGGCTTAGGCTTTAGAATTTGGGATTTGCCATCTCAGTGTGACTTAGTTCCGTACTGACACCAAAGTGGGTCTTCTGAGTAGCTTATCACCTAAAAGAGCACAACAGTCTTCTTTCTGAATGAATTTCATAAAATAAGTAAATGACAGAGCAGTGTAGATTCTTCATTCATGAATAAGAACACTTTCTAAAGCCTAAGCCTACTTTGCAAATAGATTTATAAGATACATAAATAGTTTATGCAAAATAAATTTTAAATATTAGTCAGTGTATTAAGAAGGAGATTGCAGACATTCTGTAAATCTAGTTTAAGTTAGCTGGTCGTTCAAGACCAGATTATGGGGTGATGCCTGCAGATAGCCTGTAACAGACCCGCTGCCACAGGAGGACACAGAGCCCCTGAGCAGGGTGGAGGCTGCCCCCTCAGCCCTTTCTGCCTCTTGAGAGGAGGTACAGTCACCGAGGCTTCATTTAAGTCCCAGCTCAACACTTGGAATTTATATTTTCTCTTTAATTTTCATGTCACCCAGAAGCTTTAGACTCCCAGGAATTTCGATAGAGAGTATCAAATACCCTGGCATAAGTCTCCAGACACTATAGTTTATGCTAACACCAACCTATTAAAAATGCACACACCCTATTTTACTATAGTCCCTAGAAATTTGTGTGTGGTCTGGCTGGAGGCACCAAAAGAGTTCCAGTTGATCCTGAAAAGGAAACTGTAAAACGCTATTGATCAGTCAATATATTTTGTATTTCACAAGTACATTTCATTTTTACCAGACATGTTTCCCATAGGTTTATCTAAGGCTCAAAACCCGTCTTTATTAAATAATTCACATTCAGTTAACATTGTAAAGAACACACATCATATTCTCAGTTGTTAGTCCTTCATAGCATGTGCCAGTTCCGTAGCCTGGTGACAGAGATAATCTGGACACTGTAAACCATTTTCTCAAAGACTATAACTTCTTCAGAATTAATTCCTAAAGTGTTTCTACATGAAAGTAAAGAAAATGTTGGTTATTATTGGGATTTGAGTTCATCTTGCCGTTGGACCTAGCTCCCTAAGGTTTGACCTCAGTGTGGTCAGTTAAAGTTACGAGCCCAGGCTCTCCCGGGCTAGCCATCCTGAAGGAGGAGACCTGGTTATGCTGGGTCGGAGTGGAAGCAGACCAGTGCAAGCCCATCACTTTTGAGTGTAGCTGACAGTGTAGGCTCAGAGCTAACTTTTTGCAGGCAGGTAGATGCCTTATTCAGAGGAAAAGTTTTTGCTTGCTTTTACCAAACTGAGCAAGAATTAAAGCTGCCCACTGAGCGTTCAGGTTGTTATTCTGTCCCACAGGAGGGACATTTTTGCTACCTGGGAAATAAATATTAAAGGATAAGAGACCAGCATTTAGCTAGTTTCTTCATGTTTCTCTCCCAGCACAAAAGGAAATCCTCCAGTTGTGATGCCAATCTAGTGTTAGGATCGGACAAAAGACTGAGTTATATCTCTGCTTTCCTAGTGCCCAGGGTAGCATCTCATTAAATATTTAAGGAACAGGGGAAGGGGAACCTCTGGTGGGAGTTGGGCCTCTGGCTCTTCTGTCCCTTACCCTGTATTCACCTGACCCCACTCCTAGACCTTGAGGTTCTCAGCTGCTGATTTAGCCCCAGGAGAGAAGGGCGAAGTGAGCTTATAGTGACTGTAGCTTTCCCGTGACAGCCAGGGGAGGTGTAGTCACCATCTGCCCTCCGAGGCGAGCGGCTCTCTGCTGGAGGGGCAGCCTCAGCGGAGCCAGGGGAAGCAGAGGCAGTGAGGGCCGCCTTGTGCTGTCTTTGTGTCCGGTAGTGTCAGAGCATGGCTGCTGTTCAGCAAGTGGCATTCGTGTTTTCTAAAAGTGCTGTCCTGTATGAAGGCTGAGTAAAGGCAGTAGCTTTCCTGGGCTTTGTCATGATTCACAGCACTGTTCTGTATCACCCTGTGTTCCATTTTTCCCACCTCATGCTGCAAGTGAGATGTAAAAATGTGTTTTCTGCTATTTAAAAATGTCTCGAACAATTTTAGTAGCAATGAAAACTCAGTAAGTAAACTCAATTGCCTCAGGCCCCTGGGATTTAGCAGGGAAGAAGGAGGCAGGAGAGAGGTGTAAGACAGAGAGGGTAGGATATGTGTCCACAGGGAAGAGTGCCTGGCTTTGCTAACGACATTCCAGTAAAACAAACAAGCATCTAAGCATTGTACAAACAAAGCAGCACCCACAGGCTGAGTTTGCCAACAGGAGTGCGGTTTGTGAACCCTGATACATTTTAGCCTCTGAACATAATTCAACCCAAGCCCTGTTAAGACCAAAATGTCTCTTCAAGGATTGGACTGGGTTTAATAAATTTAAATCTTATTCAATACAACTTTGCATCTTGTGACACTTATATAAGAAGAGAGGGTGTGGGGTTTGATAATATGCAACACTTTTAATTACTATTATATATTAAAATTAGATAAGGGAAATTTCATAATAAAACATTATTTTAGTGAATTCCAGTTCTCCAAACCTTCGGCAATTAGTCTCCTTAGCTAGATATTTCAGTAAGAATAGAAAATGGGAAATGTCTTAAATTTGAACCTAAAACTTTTCTGAGGTGTTCTCATATTTCAGTTCAATAAATGTATTGAGCACACCCTCTGTGTATAGGAGTGAATTAAATGCTATGGTGTCATAATATTCTAGAATTGTTAGCCGGGGCACCATCATTGCAGATACCTTTGCACACCTGAGCCAGGACTTGTTTAGAGAGTCTCATCTTGGGACTTACCTTTGTCATAAAAAATTACATTGGTCGCCCCCTTGTCTGCAGTTTCACTTTCTGTGGTTTCAGTTACCTGTGGTCAACTGAGGTCTGAAAACATTAAGTGGAAAATTCCAGAAATAAACACTTTATACATTTTAAATTGAGCACCGTTGAGTAGTGTGATGAAATCTTGCACCATCCTGCTCCATCTGCCTGGGAGATGAATCATTCCTTTGCTCAGTGTATCTACGCTGTGCTGTTAGTCACCTAGTGGCCATCTCGGCGATCGGACTGACTGATGTGCATAGCAGGGCTTGTATAACGGCCCTAAAGTGTAAGAGTAGTGATGCTGGCAAGTCAGGTCTGCCAAAGAGAAGCCGAACAGCGCTTCCTTTAAGTGAAAAGGTGAGTACAGTACAACAGGATATTTGGTGAGAGAGACTGTATTCACACAAGTTTTATCACAGATATTGTTATAATTGTTCTCTTTTATGATTAGTTATTGCTGTTAATCTCTTACTGTGCCTAATTTACAAATTAAGTTTTACCGTAAGTATGAAAGCATAGTTTATGTAAGGCTCCATGCTGTCCTGGTTTCAGGCATCCACGGGGTTCTGGGAAAGCATCCCTCTCCGGTAAGGAGGGACTACTGTATTAGAACAAAAAGATGCCAAAAATAGTAATTTTAACTGATCAGAGGGTTAATTTTTAGCACTGTTAAAGTTGCCATTTGCATTATAGCCATTCATTTTGCCATTTTAAAAAACTTTCATCACTTAATTTTTCATTATTGAATATCTTGAAGACAAATGTTGTTAATTTTGAGTTAGTAGTTTGCCTAAGTATAAATTAGATCTTTTGCATCCTCACAATTTAATACTTAAATAGTATTTAAATTGTTTAAACAAATATACAGTCTAATAAAGCAGAGCAAGTCTTGTCATTAATCAAATGCATATACCTCCAGGTTGGCCACATTCGTGCGGAGCGTGACATTCTAGTGGAGGCAGACAGTTTGTGGGTTGTGAAAATGTTCTATAGTTTTCAGGATAAGCTAAACCTCTACCTAATCATGGAGTTCCTGCCTGGAGGTAATTACTTGACGATGAAAGGTCATTTTTCCTTTTTGTTCTGTGGTTTCTTTCTCACTCAATTAACCCTCCTTTCTAATCCGTGCTCACACAGGTACTTTATCTTTTTTAGGCTGTAAAGGAACTCAATAACCTGTCTTGTGCTGGGTGCCTTTCTACAATTCTTAGTGCCATAAAAGTAACCTCATTCATTCTCATGATTTCAGATGGACATTTCTTTCTTTTTCTCCTAAATATATAGGAATAAACTAGGGACTCTGTCTGCTCTCCTGTCAATGGGAATCATGTATAATCAGTTATCTGACTGACAAAATTGAAACTATAACATTCTTTGCTTCAATTCTTTTGTTTCCTTTTCTATAACTTATATTAATAAGGAGTGAATTTCTCATTACTGTATTAGTAGCCAGCATCGATTTCTCATTTCTGAAGTTCTAAGTTTTATGTAACTCAGCATGAGTATCTCCTAAGGCAGCTCCAAACAAACCCAGAACAGGACATACCATTTCTCCTGGGAAACGTAGTCTGTTCCCACAGAGCAGATGAGCTGTGAGCAGACGGGTGGGGAAAAAGAAAAGTTTTTCTTTTTTTGGTTCTACAGCAAAGCAACTATTGTGGTGTAACATACTGATCTTAGGACAGCCTTTAGTTAGAACCAGGGTCATCATAATTTTTCTTATTAACAATTGGTGAAGATTAGAAAAGAGACTGATAGCATGAGGAGAAACTTTATTATTTAGATGCCCGTTGTTAAATAGTCACCAGCCCCTGGACATGTGCTCCTCAGGCCTTCCCTGCACCTTCTCCCTAGCCTCCCGTGTCTCCTGGACCCTGCCCTGTGCACTGGGTGGAGCTGGCCTGCAGAGCCATAGGCCATCTGGCCTGAGCGCTCTATCTGGACAGGCTGGCCCAGGTGAGGCCATTGGCTTCTCTCCTGGGCCAGTGGAAGGCCTGCGGCTACTTAGAGCTGGCCTGAGGACGCTGTCCCTGTGCCACTAGTGTGTCCCCAGACTGAATGTGTGGCTGCCAGGAATGAGTAGAGATTCACATTTTTCAAGTCTTGGGTCAAAAAAGAGCATTTTAATAAAAGGTTTAGCTGAAACCGGTTTGGCTCAGTGGATAGAGCGTCAGCCTGCAGACTCAAAGGTCCCAGGTTCAATTCCGGTCAAGGGCATGTACCTTGGTTGCGGGCACATCCCCAGTAGGGGTTGTGCAAGAGGCAGCTGATCGATGTTTCTCTGTCATCGATGTTTCTAACTCTCTTCCTCTAACTCTCTCTTCCTTTCTGTAAAAAAATCAATTAAGATATATTTTAAAAAATAAATAAAATAAAAGGTTTGATTATTTTTGCCTGGGGTTAAAATACCCACTTTTCTTTAAGAATATAAAGTTCCCCAAAAGTTATAAATGAAATTAAATGTAAAAAGCAGTATGATGCTGTTAACATCAGATTTCTTTCTCTTTTCCCTATTTTCTAACAGATGGCTTTTTATGAGATCTAAACTGAACCTCTCCTGTTTCTCTAAGCTTTAGCTACTTATACATGTTTGCTTTGCTGTTGTATAACTGTTGAGTTAGGATCAGATCTATGTTTTGCCATTTTATGTTGCTGGTATTGCAGAAAGAATTAAAATTTGCAGAAAATAAGGATGTTACCTCTAATTGCCGAACTATTGATGCTGTGTTGTAAAAATTTCATAAAGTATATTAGTGTATATTTAAATACAATAAAACACTGGATGAAAAAAACCCACTTGTCTTGGGAGATGTTCAGTTGCACTTTGGGGAGGCAGCTCTCCCACGGTCTCTGGAGCATGGTCAGCTTACCTTAGCTCTGCGGACCAGCACTCTGCTTCCTGTGGAAGGAGAGATTGGAGAGCTTGTTCTCAGCCTCCCCAGTGTTTACCTTGTTCGGCATTTCAGCGTGGAAATGCCATTTGGTCCCAGGTATAGAGAAGCTTGCAGATATTTGTGCAAAGTTAAAAGTGAAATAGCTTCTATTCCCAGTTCAAAAATTTATCGTAAGCAAATTTACTTTTTTAATGTGAGAGAAATTTTCTTTCTCAAAGTAAAGTGGAAACCATAGCTCAGTTAGCTTAGGTGGAGGTGCTGTGCTCCCGTGGCTGTGAATTTTACCTTTAGAAACTGCTTCCTATTTCTGCCCATAGTGGTAGTGTGTGCCAGGCTCTGGAACAAGGCAGAGGCCTTTTGTTGGCAGATAGGGGGGCAGGCACACCTGAAAACTGGCTTACTCATGTACTGTGTGTGTGGTGGTTTGTATCTCCTTGTTTACAGGGGACATGATGACCCTCCTGATGAAAAAAGATACTTTGACAGAGGAGGAGACTCAGTTTTATATCGCAGAGACAGTGCTAGCCATAGACTCCATTCACCAGCTTGGATTCATCCACAGAGACATCAAACCAGACAACCTTCTCCTGGACAGCAAGGTACCACGGGGGGGTGGGGCGGGTGGGTAGCAGCCAGGTGTACTTACTAATCTGAGCAGCATCTGCTCTAACACCTGCACTGTCCATGGCAGTCACTGTAGGGAAGCTGTGCAGCTGTGAACTACCTTATGCATTTCTCTCTCTTTTAAAATACATTTTTTTATTTCAGAGAGGAAGTGGGAGAGAGTGGGAGAGAATAGTGCTGAGAGAGAATCATTGAATGGCTGCTTCCTACACACCCCCTACTGGGGATCAAGCCCGCAACCCAGACATGTACCTGACTGGGAGTTGAACTATGACCTCCTGGTTCATAGGTTGACGCTCAACCACCGAGCCACACCTCTGGACCTCTCTTTTTAAAAAACAAAAAAACAAAAAAAAAACAACAACACAAAAAACACCTGTAAGTTTGTTGTTACCTCCTTTCTCTGAAAGGTTCATGATTCTGTAATTTTTAAAAAAAGCATATTTATTGATTTGAGAGAAACATGGATTTGTTGTCCCACTTATTTATGCATTCATTGGTTGATTCTTGTATGTGCCTTGTCTGGGAATTGAACCCACAATCTTGGCATATTGGGATGATGCTCTAACCAACTGAGCTACTAGGCCAGGGTGTGATTCTGTTATTTGATTTAATGTTTTTTTTGTTTTGTTTTGTTTTGTAGACACAAACTTCTTTTACTTGGGTGCAGGGATAGTTGTTTGTTTTTTTAAAAAGGGACATTTTGAAAATGATAGAGTAAAATTAATTCAGAACATTATTTTATAATAAAGCCAAAGATCATCATCTTTCCTCAGCAAATATTTATATTGATGCATCACTTACTGAGAGCCCTCTGTTGGGCAGCCTCATCAGTTGGGGCACCCAGCCGCAAACCAGGCAGTAAGGCACAAGGGCAGCCACCACAGCACTTGGTCACAAAGTTTAGATTCCAGATCTTATGCCTCTGCTTAAAAAGGCTGCTCAGCCCTATAATGGCCTTTTTATATTCATCCTTAGACATGCAAATGAACTTCATTGCTTGGTTCTTAAGCTCATAGCAAATCCCCAGAGAACCCCCTGTGCTGGGTGGGTGCTGGGTCCTTCTTGGAAGTCTCTCCACCTCTGGGCCTCACTAACCTGTAAGGCGAACATATTAATCAAGAGACACTCCTGAGTTCCTTCCATTCTGTTACATGTAATTGTTTCCTTTAAAAAAAAGTCAGCTGAAACCAGTTTGGCTCAGTGGATAGAGCGACAGCCTGCGGACTCCCGGTCAAGGGCATGTACCTTGGTTGCGGGCACATCCCCAGTAGGGGGTGTGCAAGAGGTAGCTGATCGATGATTCTCTCTCATTGATGTTTCTAACTCTCCCTCTCTCTTCCTCTCTGTAAAAAAGTCAATAAAATATATTAAAAAATAAAATAAAAAAAAGAAGAAAAAAAAGTCAATTTATAACTTCCTGCTGTGCTAAAAAAACCCTGATTTTTTTTCTTTAAAAACCCTTATTTTTCTGTTTCAAGAGGGCAGGAGATTTGTCAGATAATTTCTTCTGGTTAATAGCTCTTTCTTCATTGTAAGAATAATGTACATACACAGTAGGAATTTGAGTAAGACAGAGAGTTACAAAGAAGAAAAATACTAATAATCTCATCGTTCAAAGATAAACACTGTTTTGGTATATAGCATCAATATCTTTTCTGTTTGTATCAATAATTGCTGTACAATTAGATCCTCAAAGTAAATAGCTTGATATTCTTGGTATTTAAATGCTAATATATATGAGAATATTTTTCTGTATCATTAAGCTCAGATATATTTTTAATAAGGCAGTGGCCCTACTTTGTTGGTCTTGGGTTCACAGGCACTGGTCCTGGACCCCAGATGCCTTAGTGCTGGCGTAGTTGTACCCTGCAGTCTGTGTTCAGGTTCAGCAAACAGTGAAGATTAACTCTTAGGGACTCCATCTGGCTGAGGAGAAATGGGGGACCCTGCTAGGGGCACATTTGCTCTCTGTAATATGCTAGCCCTGACGGGAGAATAAATGTTCTCATAAGCAAGCTTATTTATGTGTTCAGCCATATGGTTTGTTGAAGTGAAAATGTAGCAGTTTTGAGTTTCTGCTCTATACTCAGAATAGCTACAGAATTCCCTGAAAATGTTGGCTTGCATAACATTTGCTCCAGGCACTACTCTTTAAGCCACACTCCTTTCTTAGATGTGTCCAGGTAAAACATGTAATTATGAGAACTACTAATTAAACTCTGTTCCTTGACTTGTAGAACAAGTTATATGCAGATCTGAAAACAAAAGGATATCAGGTTAATAAGCTCAAAGCTGTCTTTGTTTGGCAGTTTAACACACACACACACACACACACACACACACACACACACACACACACACACACAGCCAAACATAATGGGGTTTATTTCTACCCCTGCCAGTGATTTCAGAGAGGAAGGGAGAGGGAGAGAAAGACAGAAACAAAAATAAAGAGAGAATCATTGACTGGGATCAAGTCAGCAACCCAGGCAAGTGTCCTGACAGAACTGAACGGTAAATGATTCAAGGTGGACACCCAAACCCTGAGCCATGCCAGCCGGGCGCTAATGGGATTTCTTTAAAAACAAAACAAAATAGAACCTGACCCTCTGAGCAGGGCTGCCGTAGCCTTGTCCCCTGGGGAGTTTTACGTTAGGGCCTGAAGGAAGGTGGTATCAGTGACCACACATGTTGTCATCGGGGCTTAAACGGCCACGCCGCTTCTAAGGGAGTGACCTTGAGCAGCGCAGATCCCTGAGCATTAGAATTCCCTCCCCTGTTTTTAGTTTTACCTCCTCTACTTACCATTTAACCACTCTCAAGAACACGTACCTCTTTGTTAGGGCCAGTATGTGCCAGGCACCAAGTTAGGAGCCTTGTGTGCGTTAATTCTCATTGTTCCTGCCAGGCAGATGTCATTGTTCCCCTTTCTGGATGGATCGGGGGTTACAGAGGTGAACTGATCCTGGTCTGTGGAGAAAGAGCTTGTTGATTTCTGGTTTGGGTTCTGCCATGTTACCAGCAAGCCATTTAACAACTCTGAGTCTGAGAGTGTTGCCCCAGAGTTATGAATGAGACAGCGCCGGGGTGCTTGTAGTCCACATTGCAGTGAGAGGGAAGAATTGGGGGTGAAGTGAGCAACAGTATGAGGGGGATGTTAGGTAAGCAGTGATGTACTAAGTCATTTGAGTATTATCTGTAAACATTAAAAATGGTAATTTCTAAGACTATATATATATATATATATATATATGAAGTAAAATTATCTTTAGATGCTATGGAGGGTTCAACTATATTTAAAAGTACATATTTAAACAAAAATAAAGATAATATGCAAAATTGAAAATACTTTTATTAGTGTAATAGAACTTGGGGTGATCTTACGAAAATACTGCTATGTTCCACATCCATGAATGCTCATCCTTTACCTGGTCTCCTCTTTCCCATAGGGCCATGTGAAACTTTCTGATTTTGGCCTTTGCACCGGCCTGAAGAAAGCACACAGGACAGAATTTTATAGGAATTTGAACCACAGCCTTCCCAGTGATTTCAGTAAGTGTTAACAGTGATTAGCCTTTTTATTCCTTAACTGGGCCTACGAGAGCTGGTCCCCTGGTAACCAGAATATGCTGGACAGATTAGGAGAGTCTCCCTTTGAGTATTTTTTAAATTTGTATTCTCACCTGAGGATATTTTCCCATTGATTTTTAGGGAGAGTGGAAGAGAGAGGGAAAGACAGAGAAACATCGATGTGAGAGAAACACATCGATTGGTTGCCTCCTGTACATGTCCTGACTAGGGCCCAGACTGGTGAAGAGCCTGCACCTGAGGTACATGCCCTTGACCGGAATCAAACCCGGGACCCTTCAGACCACAAGCCGATGCACTGAGTTAAACCAGCTGGGGCCCTTTGAGACTAGAGAGTTAAATGATTTGCACTTGTATAGCAGTGCCCCCAAACCTGTTAAGACGAATGTCGTAAAGAGCTTGCCTTGGAGCTCTACTGAGAAGGTTCCTGGGGAGGGATTGGGGGCAGTAGAGGAAAAAGTCCTGGGAAAACACACACACACACACACACACACACACACACACAGATTAGATTTATCCTACATGCTTCTTTCTGTCGTGGTGGAAAGAAATTTATCCTTATGAGTGTTACTTTCACTATCAATCAAACCACTGAAATTATATAGTAAAATTACAGTTCATCTTAGAGAGCTTATGTCAAATAATGTATTATAAACCTAGGAGTTTCTGATTAACAATTACTGCTCTTGGAAATTTGATGGTAATTTTGAGAAATTATAAATGTTTTAGGTCCATTTTGGGACCTTTGCTTCAGATGAGACTGAATTTCCGGTAATTCTGATGAAATTCCCTGTAGTTCTGAGCAAGACTTGCCTGTGTTCTCTATAGCCACATGATCCATATGGAAGTGCTGTTTGATCCCATTGTGTGATTCTTTGAACAAATGCTTGCTGGGAAATGTGTCATCCAAAGCTACTGATGTGTTGGCAGTCTTTGGGGCTCATGTGGTTTGAACCAGAGCCTAAAAAAGTAGTAAACATTCCTGTCTGGACTTCGAATAGAACTTGTTTTCTCTACTTTTAGCTTTCCAGAACATGAATTCCAAAAGGAAAGCAGAAACCTGGAAAAGAAATAGACGTCAGCTAGTAAGTAATCTCTATAGCTTCTTAAATGCTATAAGCCAAGTATGAATATGTTAAAATATGCACATAAATTTGCATTTAATAAGTTTTTGCTGCATGCACATCTCTCCCATGCTTTTACGATGACCTAACAGCGTGCTGTTGTTATGTCAGTAGCACCAAAGTTGTCATTTGGAAGCAGGTGATACTAGGTTGTTTTGGTTGTCATTTTCAAACGAGATCGGGCACATTCAGGGTGGTATGGCTGTAGACTTGGTTGTCATTTTCAGTGGATGACCTCATTCTGACCTTTTACATTGGTGAAAACCCCTTTTCTTTCCCACCATTTCCCTATTTTATGATGGCAAAGGGGTCATATTTAAGCTCCAGGTCTCTCAAAATGAAACTAAGCATATACATCTACCCAGAGTTTTAAGACAATAATGGTTCACAAACTAAAATTTTGATTCACTTCAGCAAGTCATTACTCCTCAATTTACCTGCCCCACCCTTTTCTATTTTGTGGTTGAAAAAAGAGCCAGGTATTAAAAATTGGAGAGAAATTTAAGGGAAATGCTTATTCCTTTATAGATATTTGAGCAAATACACATAAAATGTGCCACAAGCTAAAAATTAACATTGGATTTATCTTGATAGTATGCAGGAAGTTATTTAAATAATAAAACTTCACCAGTGAAATGTTGCTATCTAGCAAGCTTTTATTCTAATTGGTTTATACTTGAAATGTAATGTACATGTCTTACTGTCTAGTTATTGGGAATTAATAGAAATAGAAATGTGAATCACTGCATACTTAGGCTTTGCTAGACCTGCAGCAAATGAAGTTGGCGATGGTAGAGCTGAATAATAGCTGATCATTAGAAAGCAAGAGCAGCAGCAGTGGAAGCTGCGACTAGCGCGGAGTGAGGATCACACGCGTATCCCCTAGACACGGTGGCACTTCTGCTTGTGACGTATGCAGATACAGTAGGTCGCTTGGCAGGTATGCTGAATACTAGTTTTCAGCCACATTTCTTGGTAAGATACTGAATTAGAGTTCTCTATAGTGTTTTTAATGCCTTACTTAATAGGTCACTAGTAAGTAGCTATCTTATTCTGTGAAAATGGAAGCGTGTAGAATTGTTTAAGAAAGAACCAAAAGAAGGCTTGCTTTTTCTTTTCTTTTCTTTTTTTTTTTTTTTTAACTTACTTGAAGCCCATATGTGGGCTCATACTATGCTGAGTATTATGATTTTTATGTTAAACCTGGGCCCTGGGAAAGGCAATAACTTAACCCAAACACTTTTGGAGATACTGTGACTGAAATTAACCTTTGATAATCAGGAATAGTTAGTGACATCGCAGTCCCTTTTGCTTAGGAACTCTGGTGTTCTTTAAACGTCTGATCCTTTGTGGTTAAAAACGGTTCCCATAGCGTGGAGAGGGCTGGGGAATGTTGGGACAGCTCTGGCAGGTGCTTCTGAGTGGCTCTCCATAGAGCAGATCTAACTCGCTGCACATCAGGATCACTTGAACTTCAGAACATACCGACGTCTGGGTGCCCCCAGGGATGCCATTGGCTTGGCTTCAGGTGGATAGTCTGGGTATCTGATTTTTAAAAGGACTCCGGGTGATTCTGTGCAGTGAAGGTTGAGACCCTCTAAGGAAGAGACTATTTTTTAACAATAGCTTCTGCATTATTGGGACATGGACATTTACCTATGTTTTGGAAGCTAACAAAAGGTAAGGAACCTTGTTTGGTTTTTAAAATAAAAGCAAGCTAATATTTAACCTTTGGTCACTATACTAATACTTGTTTTGGGGGTAATTAAGCTTAAGTGCCTTAAATTATTCTTATACTTTGAGACAGGCATTATGCTCTTTGACACTCAAAAAGTCATGTCAGCTTGCTAGGAACCACTTACAGGTCTATAAGGAAGGGGATCTCACTGTTGCTGTATTTGGAATTTACTGTCCTTTAATAGTTTAAAATGTTTTGTAGTTTTTAAAAATCTTAGTAAACTAAGGTTCTCATGCTGTGATTAATGTTCAGATCTTTTTATTTTATCTATGGTAGAAATGGAAATATATTAAAATCATCCTCATATTATCAATTTTGATAACTTAAAATAAAACCACTTTTCAGTCTTCAAAAGATCAATTAACCTGGGCTTCTGACATTGCATAGGCGATCCCATCCAGCCAGAACCAAACAGGAAGTTAATACTAGTTAATGCTTAATGTAGATTTACTGCTCTAGGTAAAGCCTGTCATATTGTTCACCCACCCTCTTACTGTTCTTTCTTTTCCTTTATAAAAATCTTTATTGTTGAAATATATATTACACATGTCCCCTTTCCCTCACTCCCACTGACCCCATGTAGCCCGCTCGTGCCCCAGGCCTTCACTGCCTTACTGTGTCCGAGGGTTATGCATATATGCAGACACATTTCCACCCACCCACCCTGCCTTCCATCTGGGATTTGGCAGTCTTGTTACCTTTCAGTCCATTGAGAATTACTGGATCAAGTAGAGGTTAAGGATCGCTCCTTGGCTGCTTAAATTGTATCGTAATGTTTTAAACAGCTATGTGGGTAACCTTAGGCCTAGTAACTGATTAGGAAATAGGTCTGAGTCAGCTTTAAATTATTAAACACAGAGGTAAGAATTGAAGTGCATTTAGGCATCCGATTTTTGCCAACTTATTTATTTTTTTAGTGCAGAAGTTATCGAAGTGTTTAAGTAGGAAATGAAATTGCTTTATTTCCCCCAAAATCCTAAATAAAATAAGTTGGAACATGTCATGTTTGAAAATGACTATTAACAACCGACAAAACTCTGAAAAGTGCAGCTCTAATTAACACTAAAGATATCCAGAGAACAAAAAGAAAAAGGATATTGATTTGAGGTATTAAGAGCTTAGTATGGAAGACAGACAAAAGTTTGGGAAATGGGCACTCCCTCGGCTAGTTTGTTAAAAGGAGGGTGAGCTCCTGAGGCCGGATTCCAGCCCGTATGTCACAGGCTGTGCCTGCTGGGGGCTGTGTTTGTAACTCAGACGTCTTTTAATGCCTTAGTACCTTGCAGTAATTCTTTTCCGGTGGCAGTAGATCTCTGGTTTCATAATAGAAATCTTTGAACAAATAAGGTTTATTTAATATTCAGCTTTGCTGGAATAAATCTAGTCTCTGAATTGAAGGGTTTCTTCTTGGGCCCAATCCGTGTTTCAGACTTCAAGCTTTAAAACAAAATAAAACTGGCATTTATGTTATTTAAATGTGTAGTTAAAGAAAATACTATGCAATTATGTATATGGAAAAGGTGAATTTCTGTCTTACAGTATACACAAAATAAATTGTAGATGAAAAGTAAAACTTGGACCATTTTAGAAGCAAATACTTGTAATATCTTTAGAACCTCAGAATAAAGAAGGATTTCTCAAATGTCATAAAAGAAGTACAAATCATAAAAGTGTGTTTTATTTTACTTACTACTTATAAAAAACACACACAACTTTCTGTATGTTGAAAGATATAAATGGGAAGGTAAGTCCTGTGGTCCAACTCCTTTGGAATTGTATTGCAGTTCATGTGCATATCCTACAACCCAGCAATTCCACCCCCAGTCATGTGCCTTGGAGAAACTTGTCCCTGTCAACCAGGAGACATGCCAAAGAATGTTTATTGCATTTTTATAATAGCAAAAAACAAAACAAAACACAGAAATTACTCAGTGGTTCCTGTCCATCTACAGGAAAATGGTTACATTTTGGAATAGAATATTTTACAGCAGTGAAAAAAATTGAACTACAGTTACATGTGACATTATGGATCAGTTTTAGAAACAAAACATTCAGAGGACAAATCGAATAGTAGAGGCCACATGTAGAATGATGCTGTTTTTACAAAGCTCAGAAACAAAACTAAAAAAGACTTAGAGAGACCCGCGGCAAAATTAAATTGCTTTTTAAAAGCAGAAGAATGATAAACATAAAATGAAGCATATAAGGTTTGGGAGAGCCCAAGGACGGGGTGAGATGGGATGGGATGGGAGGAGTACACGTTTAGTTTTAATGGTTTTGGTAATATTTTGGTTCTTTAGTTGAACTCTTATTTATTTTCATTATTATGCTTTATAATTTAATAATTACACCTTTTTGATATGTGACAAATATTGCTTCGTTTAAAAAAAATAAATGATAAGTCTCCGACTAGGAGAAGATATTTGCAATATGTGAAACTACAAAGGATTAATGTCCTGAATCAGGATTAATGCCCTGGATTTATTTTAAAAATTCCTCTGAATCAATAAGAAAAAAGAAAATGCAACCAAAAAAAAAAAAAAATACACTAATAGGCAAAGGATCTGAATTCCAAGGAATTTATAGAAAAAAAAGACCTGAATGGCTAATTTACATAGGAATATGCATCAGCCTTACTGAAAATAAGGAAAATGCAAATTAAAACAGTGTAATCCTATATCATATTCATCAGATTGGTAAAAATTAAAAAGTTCAACAGAGCCAAGTATGGGTGAGATGGAACATCAGGAGCTCCTCCCCTGGGGCGGTTAAGTCGGCATAGCTGCCCGGAAGGACAATTGGAAGACGGCTTATTAAGTAGAAGACAGTGACGCTATTTCTCTTACATTTTCAAATGCCCAGGAAGTGGTACAAGAATGTTCATTCAGGTGTCTTTGTTATAGTGAAACACTGGAAGCAATGTAAGTGTCCATTTACTGGAGAATGAATAAAAAAAATCCATTTGTGTAATGAAAAAGTATACAGTAGTAAAATGAGTGAAAGAGTTATGTGAATTAATCTCGTCTATAATTGAGTAAAACAAGCAAGCCTTGTAAAATAATACAGATCAGTATGAACCCTTTACATACAGGAAGTAGAATGTCAGTTACATGAATATTCACACCAGCATAGCAAGCAACTTCAGGGTGTCTTTAACTGCAGTGAGAGAGGGACCAGGGGTCTGGCTTTAGTTTATCTTTAATTTCACTTTTTTAAAAAAAGACAAATGATCTAAAACAGATATGGCAGATTATTTAACCTCTCTTTAATATGGGTAATGGTTACATGTGTATTGTTTTATTTCTGTATGTTTGCAGTATTTCACAATAAATATTAAAAAAAAACACAGCTGTGCTTTTAATGTTGGAGGTTATATAATGGAAGCACCTCGAGTGGAGCCTTCCACTGGTCCACCTCCCTTGGCTGAGCAGCCTCTGGAGGTGCTGCGCTCCCCAGGGCTGCCGTCTGGGGCAGGAGACAGAGTCCTTGCATTTACAAACACTCCTCTAGCAGCTCGTCGTATAAATAGTTCAGTTTGACAAATAGACATTTATAAACCTTAGACCTATAGGATATATCTGTAGCTTTTAATAATAAACTTCTCTTTATGATTTTCTTAAAGAATGGATATAGTGGATAGAGGGATGGTTTGGAGCAAGAGAATTTCCAAACTTCACTCTGCCACTTAGCTCGTTCTGAGGCCTTGGGCAAAGCCATTTTGGGCGTCAGATTTTTTTTTTTTTTAAATCTGCAAAGTTGGATTAATAAGGTCCTAAAGTCCTCTTTGCTAAGTTTTTTTCAGGACTAAGCAGTCCCATAAGCATTAAGAAGTCCAGAGCCTGGCACTTCCCGGCTGCTCAGTAAACTATGAGTTGTCCTGATAGGCACTCGTAGGCTTTGGGCCCCTCACCTCACTGACAGCTTTACTGTTCATCTTGGAAGTGCTCTGGCAAACCAGGCTTGCCGTTAAGCAGCGAGGCCTTTCTGCGTGTTTAGTTTATGGGCAGCTGTAGACCGGGGTTGGGGAACTTTCTGCCAAGGGCCATTGGATATTTATAACATCATTCATGGGCCATACAAAACGATCAAAAACTGGCCTGCCGTATTTGGTCAAGCATTTAATTATCTCACCCCTAATGCCTTGGCAGGCCCAGACCAAACGATTTCATGGGCCTTCTATGGCCTGTGGGCCGACGCTCCCCACCCCTGCCCTAGATGGTGCTGGGCCTCTGGTCTGTGGAACAGGACTCTGGCCCCTCCTGCCTGCTGGGTCTCCTGACATGTGGTACGTGTTTCAGGCCTTCTCCACGGTAGGGACGCCTGACTACATTGCTCCCGAGGTGTTCATGCAGACCGGGTACAACAAGCTCTGTGACTGGTGGTCGCTTGGTGTGATCATGTATGAGATGCTCATTGGTAAGTTGTATGCTTTCCGTTGGCATTTTCTGTGTGGCCAGGAAGGAATCCTACAGTGATAATAAACTCCCATTTCAGTTTGAGGCTGATCTGAGTGCTCTCCCCTCCCCATCTTTCAAAGTAGTTTCCTAAGTAGAAAACTCTTGGCCAAAAAATGCAACCTGCTGTATTTGCTGGCACAGTGATACCCTGTGGTTGCTTTGCTGATCATTTATCATGTTTTTCTTCTGCTTTTTCTCCCTCTCCATCCAGCAGCTCTTTCCGTCACTGGCATTTATTAAACATTCATTCACTCAAGTTCCAAAAGTGCAGAGAGCTTTACCTGGGCAGTGCCTCATACACTCTTACTTCCTATTTGCTGTCCCCTTCGTCTCTCGAGGTCTTCAAAGCATGGGACTCTCTGATCTCTCTCCCTCCTATTCAGATGGTATGTTTCCTTTAGGGACACATCAGGGGGTGGCTCCATGCCCCAGAGCACTAGGAGAGTCAGTATGTCTGTGCGGCACTGAGTGTGTCTGTGGACAACAGGCATGGCCTCTGTCTGACTGTGATGTCTCTGGGAGCCTTGGATGGAGGCCACTGGAGTGGATGTCACGTGTGGAGGCAGGTAGAGGAGTGTGTGTGTATTTATCTTCCTGCCTGTGGTTCTCAAAGAGGGATAGTGGTCTCTTTCAAAACCCACGCTTTTTCCTCACTCTGCTTGTTTGGATGCTCTTAGAATGGAGTAGTTTCTTTTATTTTTTTAAAATCCTCACCCGAGGATATGTTTATTGAGTTTAGAGAGAGGAACGGAGAGGGAGGGAGAGAAACATTGATGTGAGAGAGGAACATTGATTGGTTGCCTCCTGTACACTCCTGACTGGGACAGAAACTGCACCCTAGGTATGTGCCCTCACCGGGAACTGAATCTGAAACCATTTGGTGTTTGGGGCGATGCTCCAACCAACTGAGCCACCAGCCAGGGTGAGGTGTCTCTTACTAACGTTCCATCCTTTCAGTTCTCCTTTGGCACAGTGGTTCCACATCTGTAACTCTCCTTTCTTCTTCTGATCCAGTTATTAGCTGGCTCCCTGGAGGTTCCAAGAGCACAGCTTCCCTTTGGGTTTAGGAGCTCAGGGAAGGTAAAGGCTGTTGAGGTGCTTTCTGAGATGAGTGAAATCCTGTCCATGTCATGGAGGGAAGGACATAACAAGATCATTAAAGACATGGAATTCTATTAAGGAGAATAATCTCATACTCAACGCTCTGCAATGTAAAAGCTCCAGGTTCCTTTTTATTGCAGGCTACCCACCTTTCTGTTCTGAGACCCCTCAGGAGACATATAAGAAGGTGATGAACTGGAAAGAAACTCTGACTTTCCCTCCAGAAGTTCCTATCTCTGAGAAAGCCAAGGATCTGATTTTGAGGTATCGGTCAGAGAACATCTCCCCCGCCCCATCCAGGCTTTTTGACATCATTGAACCCGTTTTTTACACCTTTGGTGATTTCCTGGGTTTGCGCCCTGCTTCCTCCTGTTTCTCCTTCTGAAAAGAGGAGGTTATCCCTTTTCTTTTTGAAAAGAAACCACATGAGGAATGCTGAAGGCCTCTGTCTCTTCCAGATTCTGCTGTGAATGGGAACATAGGATTGGAGCCCCTGGAGTGGAGGAAATCAAAAGTAATTCTTTTTTTGAAGGTGTTGACTGGGAACATATCAGGTATATCCATATAAAAACTTAAAGGATTATTTTAGAAATTCTGTAGTTAACTTAATTCTAAGTTGGAAGCACTGTTGTTGGCAAACCAAGTCAGAGATCATTTTAGAAATTCAGAGTATTTTCTTGATTTAAGTTTTTGCTGAGGACTGGGAATTGGAGCTTCCTGTTAGCCCTGAGTCATGGGATGTGTGAAAGCCAGCAGCTACTTCCAAAGTGAAGTGGACTTTGGGTCCCATGGGGAAGGGAACATCTAAGAAGGGTGTTGTCCTTGCTTTTACCGGGAGCACTCCAACCTCTCCCGTGTTGGGGACCACCAGCCTGACTGTCCCTGTCCGAGGGAAGGGACTGCCTCCGGGAGATGGAGGAGGAAGGAGGAGTGGAAGGACTGGGCAGGACGCGGCAAGGAGGGGTGGAGGGAGAGGGAGAGTGTCTGGTTTGGGGAGCACTCCCAGCCCAGCAGGAGCCTGCGCAGCCTGCCGTGGGCCCGGGCCCAGGCTGCTCAGCATTTGCGGTTGCTGAACAGAAGGTGAAGTTGTTACCTGTTTGATGACTGTGTTCTGACTTGCATCCTTGTGATTGTTACCGTTGCCTCCTTTGTGCTGCCTCCTCGTTGGCATCTCTGATGGACGGGCAGAGCCCTACCGGAGGGGGCTCCCCGAGGCCCAGGCGCCCTTTCTAGCAGGCAGGGCAAGTCATCAGGGGGAGCACATAGCTTGGACTTTAATTTCCCCTTAGTGTTCTTTCTAGCTATGAATAGTTGTTACAGTTTTCATTGTGATTTATTTTGTTTGGCTGTAGTCAGTTGGTGTGGTTGGTCCGTGGTCAGAAGCTTTTCAGAGAAAATGAGTGCTGCCAGCCAGGGGATAGTCTTCTGTGCCAGATCCGGGTCTTTTCTGCGGAAGGCTGGTTAGTTATGACCCATCTGATTACTAACCATAGTAATTTTGGCATGTCTGTTCTTGGCAGAGAGAGACCTGCTGCAATATCTATTGAAATCAAAAGCATTGACGATACCTCAAACTTCGATGAGTTTCCAGAATCTGATATTCTTAAGCCAACAGGTAATACCACCAATTCTCCCTACTGCTGCCTTACTAGTGCATTATTTCCCCCCAGTTTTGGGGTGATGTTTACAGATCAGGGTAGAGGACATGGAGAGGAACTTCAGGTCTTCGGGTGCTTGGTAAGTATTTCAAGTGCTGTGCTGGGTAGCAGCGAGACCTTGTCACATGGAATATGGTTACACGCTCCCAGGCTTAGCCTGCCCAGCGGGTGGGTCAGTCACAAGGGTCTGCTCTCTTGTTGCTGTTTATTACAGTAAAGGCTGGGTGACCTGGAATGACAGAAATGGGAAAATAAACCACTTTAAATATATGTGGAAAAAATGAGGTTCAAGGAACATATTGGCAAGCAATGTAGAAAATGCACACTGAGTGAAAAATAGCTTTTCCCAGATAGAAAATTGGTATGTTCATCAGAACGCCATGTCTTCAGTACCCAGCTGGCTGTCGGGGTAAGGAGTCAACTCTCACATCTGTCTCTTTCCCAGTGGCAACCAGTAATCACCCTGAGACTGACTACAAGAACAAGGACTGGGTCTTCATCAATTACACCTACAAGCGCTTTGAGGGCCTGACTGCGCGGGGGGCAATCCCTTCCTACATGAAAGCAGCAAAATAGCGCCCTGGATGGAACCCCACGTGGAGCCGAGTTCTATGTGCAACACCGCGTGTTCCTCTCACACACTTTGAAAGCTTCCAAGAAGCTTATGGAACCCATAAGCTTGTATGTCCCGGAAATTCGCCTGAAATGTGACAGTGAGGATTCTCTTCACAGCGCATCCGAAGCTGTAGAACGGAGCCAGCAGTTCCACACCTCGGCCATATGCAGCTTCTTCAGACACTTCTAAGTGTCACGAGCCAATTTGATAGATGTTTTAAAAAAAAAAAATAAACACACACACACACTTGAATTTTCCTAAGTTCACAGAACGAAGGGGAAAAAACAGCCATCATTCAACATTATTGAAACTGTAACATATACTTACTGAATCTCCGCCAAGCCCCGAGGTTTTGTGATCTGCTTTCTGCCAAGCCCACCGAGTATTTCCTTTTCCTTTACAGCTAAAGGTTCCATAGTACTAAGGAAATAGAGCAATAAGGAAAGCCTGAAGGGGTGATGGTAGTTTCTCCCCAGACGAGAGGCTCTTCAGCCTCCATTCGTGGTGCACTTTATTTATGGTACTAGGATACAGACTCCGTCCATTGCCGTGTATCCTCCGCCATCTGAAATACTCATGCTGCTTTCTGGAGTGCTGATGGGGGGGTACCAGCTTGATCCATTGTTGCTCTTGAAAGGCCCCAAAGCCATCGGGCATTGCCAGAGTCCGGATCACGTGGGAAACCTCATTTCTCTTCTCGGCTAGCTCACAACATCCCTGAGTCGGATGTGGCTGTGGACCAGCAATACCCACAAGTGCTGCCAACAGGAACTTGGCTTATTCCTGGGAACACAACAAGGAGAGCCAGGCACAGGCAGGAGCCTGGAACCCCCTTGGCTGAGGTGCTGCTCCCATGGGTCTCCAGAACCTGCTTGGAAGTGGGCAGGAGCCGGCCCAGTGGGAAGCGCAGAGCCAGCCTCAGATCTTTGTCACGTTCACTCCTCAGTCCTTGGTGCAAGTCAACTGTGTTTTGTCTTCTCTCTCGGTATTTCTTCTATCCCATCTTTCAGTACCATTTTGCCTTGGAATCATGATTACAGATATTTTCTTTGCAGATGCCTTCCTGGGGGATGTTCCTCTCCACCCTGCAGGGTGGCCTGCAGCTGGGGCTGAGGTCCCTGCTGAGGATTCTCTTATGAGACACCCTCGGAACTTTAGCACAAAGTGCCTTCTCTTTTACAGCTGCCACCACCTTTACAGGAAGTTTGCTGTGTCAGAAAATTGTGAGGCTCCATAGTTATGCATTATTACTTTTAAACTGTAGTAATTCTGAACGCATCATTTGCACTGGGGTGGTAACTTACCTGTGCAGAGCATCCTGGCCCAGCTGCAGCGGGGACCGCTCCTGCCAGTCTTGATGTTATTAAGATCAGCTTTGAGAGGAAAGTCTGTCCTGGCTTAGCCATTCGGAAAAGAAGAACGGAATTCAGTTACAGTAGTAAATGAAATTGCTTTGGGTTTCCATGTTTAGAGAAAGAAAAAAGATTTTTAAGGAAGTATTAACTGGATGAAGGTAATGTGTCTGCCCCTAATCTTTCATTCATGGTCTGTTAGTGAAAAGGAAGTAAATGAGATTCTTTTGTGTAACTTTGTAGTTTCTTTGTATTACCAAATAGTTGGGGTGTTGACCCCCATGTGTTTTGCAAGAGTATGTGGTAAGCATGGGTAAGGAGTGGTGATTGTGTGTTGGGGAGTGGCGGGGGATAATTTGTTTTTGGGGTAAATGTCCACTTTTTAAACTTTTGAATAAACTGTGTGGAAAAAGCAGTGTAATGTGTTCTAATTCAGTATGGCTTCCAATTCAAAGAGGCAGAATGCTAACTGCATCGCCGTCTGCAGACCGGGTGCTTTTCTGTCTCGAAAGCTGTGGCTGTGTCTTCTGATTTGCTGTCCATACAAAGAGACTGTCTTCTCTCGGGTGCTTTTCTGTCTCGAAAGCTGTGGCTGTGTCTTCTGATTTGCTGTCCATACAAAGAGACTGTCTTCTCTCGTGGCCCCACGCATGTTCTTCCTACCTGATTCTGTGTTACAGAATTAAGGCCACGGGGAGACCTTTCTGACAGAGGGAAGCCTTTGTATGACTGTTTACAGCTCAGTCCGTTAATTTCCCCAGCCTGGCGCTGACCAGGAATTTCAAATGCTCTCAGGGCAGGACTTATCAGCCCCCATGTCCCCCAGAGCAGGGTTCTGTTTCCAGATCGTGTGTATTTGGGTCCTGTTGGGTCCCACTTACCTCTTCTCTAGGTTAGAGAAGGAAGCCTGAGAAAGTGGCAGGAAGGAAGGGATCAAAATCGGGGTCAGACCTGCAGCGAGGGAAGCTAAATCGTTAGAATGTGTACTGTCTTTCCAAGGCTCGTCGCAGACATGTGGGAATTGGCTCAATATTGGTTCTGGTCACAGATTATTCTGTTTCCTACTTTATTTTTTAAAATATTTTTATTGATTTCAGAGAGGAAGAGCGAGGGAGAGAAAGATACATCAATGATGAGAGTCATTGATCAGCTGTCTTTTGCATGCTCCAACACTGGAGATTGAGCCTCAACCTGGGCATGTGCCCCGACCAGGAATCAATCGTGATCTCCTGGTTCCTAGGTTGATACTCAAGCCAGGCACCTATTGCTTTGTAGAATTACTTTAAAAAATAACATACAGGCAAATTCCTTTGGGATTAATATTCAAGGTTTAGATAGTAGGTTGCTAATTTTAAAACATTTATAGGGCATAATAGGATTCCTCTTCTACTTATTACTAATACTTTTTCTCTGAATTGTTTCCTTGAAAAGTATATTTCCTGGATCACCTCCTGTCTCCTGAGCCTTTGTATATAACCTAATGGTGTTTTCAGAACTCAAAAGGACTCAGTGAATGCTCTTCTCCTTTGCTAGGTAGTATACATTTTCCCGGAATTATCTATCAAAGCCAATACTGACTTAAAACTAACCTTCACATGATTGTTTGGGCATATTTTCAGAGAAAAACATCTTGCCCAAATAACATTTAAGCACCATAATATATGGAATTCAATTCCAGGCGCTCGGACAAGGAAGTGAGGGCTGAGTGGTTCTGAACTGCACAGCAGTGTGTGGGGAGAATTCCCACCAAGGGGCTAACAACGCAGCATCGGCTGTAAAGTTAGTATTTTAGTGGCGATGTAACAATACTCTTAAACCAACCCGAAGTTGCTGGGAAGCTTAGGGAAGCCCCCGGAGATGTTTGCAAACAGCAGTGATTGGGCAGGGAGGAGTGAGCCCCAGGATGTTGGCAGCAGGAAGGTATGGTCTTGTGCTGTGGTAGAGGCATGGAGTTGAGTAATAACTGCTTTATGAAGAACACTGCACTCACTTTGTCATTTCCTTCTCTCACTTCCACCCACTCCAGTCTGGTGCCTCTTCCTTGTGTGAAATGTTAGTATTATCCCATGTATAAAGCATGCTAGTATTTTTATTATTCCTGTGGTCACTGGGTCCTGCCATACCCATTGGCTTCTTGACTCCTTTTTTTTTGATTTTAGAGAAGGAAGAGGGAGAGTTGAAAACATCAGTGATGAGAGGGAATCGTTGATAAGCTGCCTCCTGCATGCCCCCCACTGGGGACCGAGCCCACAACTCAGGCATGTGCCCCTGGCTGGAATTGAACCTGGGACCCTTCAGTCCACAGGCCGACACTCTATCCACTGAGCCACACCAGCAGGGCTTGACTCCTGAATCATCCTGCTGTACTATACCGTTGACTTTAAAAACAGCTCCCACCTCTCCGACTTCTGTCTTTCAGTTACTCTGCCACCACTTAAATGCTGATGCTTTTCAGAGCAATCACTTTTGCACTCTTTTCACTCGTGATCTTCAGGCCATCCACCCCATACTGCGGCTTCAACTACCATGCTCTGGTGGTGAGGTCTTCAAAGTGACCAGCCTACCTAGGCCACTCCCCGGATCGCCTGGTCTCATGGAGCCAAGTGCCTACTAGAAGTGTCATTGGATGGCCTTCACCAGGCTCAGGCCAGGGCTGTCCAAGACTCCTTGCCTCCATAGCCTTTTTTCTAGCTCAGTCTACTCAGCTATCCAAACCACAAACTTCTTCCATGCCTCCCAAGTAAGCATGCCCAGGTCCAGAGCTTGGCCACTATCCTACCAGTGCCTTCCTCACTCGGTGCTGAACACATCGCAGTGATCTCAAAGTGACCTTTTCCAGTCCTTTGAAGCCTGTCATCCCCCTTGCTGTCAAAGAAATTCTCCGAAATTTTGTCTGACCGTGTCTTTCTGCATAAAGCCTTGAGGGCTCCCATCCCAATACATCATTGTCTGAGGCCTTTCTTTACTCTGGCCTCTTCTCTGCATCACCATGCCCACTTCCCTGATGACAGTAAGCAATTATGTCATCTTTGCTTACAGTTGAGTTGGCCTAGGATACCTCCTCCCCTCATACTCATGGATCCAAAATAACTTGTATTCATCCTTCACAATTTGGTTCATGGTCACCTGTAGAATTCTCTTGTAACCTCTCCCCTCACAGTAAAAACTGGCTACTCCCTCGTTATGGGACTTCTGAGTGACCTGGACTGTCTACCAACGTCTTCTCTATGTGATCCTAACAGCTCCTTGGTGGGAGGAACCGTGTCCTAGTCAGGGTGTCCCCATGGCCCAGCAGTGCTTGGCACAGAACATACTCTGCAGGCCATGCTTATAGAGCATGTTCTTAACCTCAGGCCTGCTAGGAAGGCACAGGCTTGCTTTAGCACCCCTGAAATTCAGTGTCACCAGCAGTAGGCTCCCAGGTTGAGCTAGGGGCCTCAGTAGACACCAGCCCCGAGTAGGGCTAAGGATGAGAAAGAGGCTCTACTACGATGTCTCCAAGGGACCTTTCACTGATGCCGTGGTTCCTCACTGGCTTAAACCTAAACTGGGACATCAAAGTTTGCGTCCTCTTTCAAACTCACATTTGACTTTGCGAGGTCCTACTTAGTTGTACTTGAGGGTTTGAGGGGTCTCGAATGCAAGTTAACCAGGAACTAGAGAAGGGAGACCATTAGTGCTCTGGAACCTAGACGTACAAACAGCAGGGTGGGAAACACACAGGCCTGAGGTAAGCCCACAGCTGCTGCTCCTTTCAGTCCCTTTTTAAACCTACTTTTATTTTCTGCCAAAAGAACAACATGGACACAAATTATAATATTTTATTTTTTAAAAAAAGCATCCCAAATATAGGGTTTCGTAAACACTGGTAGGTAAACATGTGCAACTTTAAATACAAAGTAAAGAGGCAAAGCATTTGTCTTTAAGAGAAAATGTCCTGCAGTGGTGGTCCCACCCAGAGCATGACCGTGGCTCCATCTCCCACGAAGGCATCAGGTTTGCTTTCTGTGCTCACTGTGCCATTTAACAATTTCAAGATGACATTAAATAGATTCACCAGAGGAAGAAGGCTCCATGTCACACTTGGACTGTGAATGAGGGCCCGTGTTCTGGTTGGTTTTACAAGGATCTGCTGGAACACTATGCAAATACAGCTGTCCTTCCTGGGTTTATTCCACAGCATTTCCTTAGACTGTACATTATCACGTTCTCGGGATTTAGTTGAAAATATTGGCTATTGTGTGCAGTAAACCCAGCTACTTTCCAGCTTCTTTACCTTTTGCTGTCATTCTTTCAGCCTGAGAAATCGCTAATATCACCACATTTTAACACTGTTCCTTGCCCAGTACTCTCCAAGTCTCAATGGCAAATGTTTCCTACTCAACTATACGTGATAGGATGCAGGCAGGAACTGATTCTAAACTTCAAATTCAGGTTCATCTTGGCTTGCTGAGATAACTCTGAGTAAGACAATCTGGCTAAAACTACCTCCTTATGAAAATGTTTTTGTATAAATCACCTGGCTTACTTATTTAGGCACTTAGAAAAAAATACCAAACCTGAGTCCTACCTTTAGTATTAGAAACACCTCTTGCCCAGGTGGCCAGTAACTGATTAAGGGAAAGACTACAACCCAGCGTGTGTTGGCTGAGAGGTCCTGCCACAGTAGAATGTCCTGGCCCTGGAAACAGCAGCTCTGACTGAGGGGAACCACCAAATTACAATGATGCCGAGCTCCCGGCTGGGAGGCCCTGGAGTGTAGAAGCCTCCCGCTCAGCTTCCTCCTCAGTCACCACCACCTGGTGACTGGCAGATTTACCTCCCCAGATTTCCGATGGGGTTGGGGCCAAAAGCACATTAACCCAATTTGGGGAAAGAAGATATAGTTCTTACAAATCAGAATAAATTAATCATTTATACAGAAAAAAGTGTTCACTACATGCCATACTTTCGCACCTGGCTTTCCAACTAAGCAAGGACTAGAGAATCAGCATGTTGACACTAAACATAACCAATACATTAGCTGTGTAATGGAAGTTATACATATACCACAGACTGCACAGTCAATGTGATGACATGGAAGTCAACTGACAAGTAAAGGAAGCACCATTAAACAATACTAGGCTGGTCGACTACTAATGGGCACGAATGTATACTGGTGAGGTCATAGCCAAACCTGACCTCAAATATGAGCCAACAGTTTCACAGAAATAAAACCACTCACTGGCATAAGCCTTACGAATGGGTGCCAATGGTCATCAGAACTCTGCAGGTGGAGGTGGTTCAGTTTAACCCCAATTACCTTTCAGAGGAAGAGCACTCATTTCCACTATGATGCTGACCACAGGCAGAGAATACACTTACGAGAAGATACTTGCTCTTCCAGCCTGGAGAGCAGCTTTCAACTCCCATCCGACTTCACCCTCTGAGGACTGGGGACTAGCTAGCATGGTCAAACAGAATCAAGCAGCTGGCCCTGGAGCATCTATGGGAACAGAATTTAAGAAAGCCAGTCATGCTCTTAAAGAAAACTATGTGCCTCTTTGGAAGTTGTGATGAGTCAATACCCCGAGCAGGTGGCTGGAAGGCCAGCCTGTAGCACAAAAGGGGAGATGATCCCATGACACATCCGGCTGCAGCCATGGGGACACTGGGGAAGGTGGGTCAGTGCTGGGAGGGTGAGCTGGTTGTCACACACTGTGCATTCACACATAGTGACAGAGCAAGCAATTACTAGTCTCATTTCCCTTCAACTCATCCTTCCTTTGGGGATGATATTAATGTGGTTTCTTACTCAGTGTGAGCAGCTGGTAGGCTATTTCAAAATAAAAATATCCTGGTATAAAAAAAAAAAAAAATTCCCTAAACATGAAAAGACTACACAAAGAAGAATCCTGAACTGGGACAAAGCCTGGTAAAGCTTCCCCATCCAACCTTCCCCTCACTGGAGCTCTTACAAGGCTTCCTGCTGAGAAACAGCCCTTGTGAGAAACGTCTGCTCACATCAGGTCGCCCACCCACACCCACAGCAGCTGCTCCTGGTGAAGACCTGTGGCTTCTCTCCAGTGCCGACCCAGCACATCCAAGTGGCCCGTCGGGAGAGGTTCTTCTACTGGAGTTTGCTCCTAAATGAATAAACACCAGGACGCCAGGGTTCCATACACAGTTATGCCACTTTCCTTCCTGTCACAGAATCCATATGGTTTTGGATTGTTCTTGCATTCATGAAAAAAACAACAACAAAAAACAAACTGAATTTTAGCGCCTAAGAATTCCCTTCTAAACATTTTGAATATGAGCCTTCTTCTACCCTGATGCAATCTGGGCACAGATGCTCCTAGGAATGGCATCTTCACCAGCCTCTAATGAGTATGCCAATAGTGCTATTGGAGGAGATAGGGACTGTCTCCTTTAGGTTTGGTCCCTTTGCTGCTAAGTGAGTGCGTGGTGTAAAACAAAACACACGAAAGCAAGACACAGCATGAAGAATCAGAACAGCTTTGCCAAATGAGGCAACAGGAGTCTTGACTTCCTTTTCTGCTTTGCAGTTATGCAAAGGCTCATTGAACAGCACCAGACCTAAAATTTCAAGTTACCAAGGCCGCTGCAAAGCTGGGAGCCATTACCAGTGAGGCTTTCTCATCCCCTGCGGAGGTGCAGATATACCGAAAAGGATGCCGGTGAATTATGGGAGAACGGAAAAGGAAGGGAGAGCCGGCTTTCGGCAGCTCAGTCAGACAAACGCTTCCAGAGAGGTGGACCCCCAGCTGGCCCTAATCCTGCAAGTCGTTAGAAGCCATCTGAGAAAGGGGGGCATTTAGCCGGTCAAGTTCATCCACTTGGGGCGGGTGATGCATCAGTATCTCCTGGTCCTCCAGGACATCTTCTCCGGCGGCTACCAGATTAGTGAGGGACTTGCTCCGAACACATTGGAAGTCCACATGGCGACTCTTTCCTTCTTCCTTTTCCCATGACATCTGGATAAAAGGGCGCTGCACATAATTATAGATGACTTCAGATCGGCCACCAGGTCTTCTCTTAATCTTTTCTTTACAGGTGGGGTAACCTGAAACAGAAAAAGACCGTTCTCATGACTTCAGCTTCCATACTTCTCACCACAGCACTTTCCCCCCACATGCAAAGACTATGCATGAAAATTACAGGGGAATCGACCAGCCTCTGACCATGTCCTCCCAGCCCCAATCACTTCCACACTATTCCCCCTGCTCAGTTAGTCCGTCTTATCCCTAGAAGGGAAGTAACAAAAATTCTATCCCTTCTAATGGAAGGGGGAGAGAAACTTCTTATTAATTTCAGATGCCTTTAGTTCAGGGGTGCGGAACGTCCTGCAAAATCATTTGGTTTGGTCCTGCCAAGGCAACTGCAGGCTGGAAGTGAAACTCAGTAAATCTAGGAGTTTTTTTCATAGCAACATATATTTATATTAAGTGAATTATATTAAATGAGTGATGTTACAAATACCCAAATGGCCTTTGGCAGAAAGGTTCGCCACCTCGATTTAGTTACTGGCAACAACACTACAGAATGAAACACCTGCTAGGGCATGGCTACTCCACCCTCTAATTCTGTTGCTTAGAAGGCACTAGTTAAGGGAATGTGGAATGTTCAGCCTAAAGAAAAAACAGAGATCTGCCTAAGGTATCTGAAAGGCTGTCACACGGAGATGGGGAAACCGTACTATGTGGAAGAACGTTCTGGTGGTGGAGCACCCTGACGGGCTCTGTGGGAATGGAGTGACCCTCTCACCCTGTCCCCGAGGCTTCCAAAGAGACAAGGGAAGTACAAGAGGTTTAACTGATGATCTCAAAAATGTCTTCCACCTTTAAATCCCCACCTAATTCAGACTCAGTGAAGGCCTGATGGGTTCTGTGGGTAAGACTGAGACAGTGAGAATAGCAAAACCTGAGTCCAAGTCCCGTGGAGGGAGACCAGGATGGCTTCAGCAAGAATCAGTCTGAGACCCTCCCATGGAGGCCACAGGTCGGGAGGCTGTCACTGCTCAAGATCATTTGAAGCAATTCTGTCAACGTCCAGGCATTTCTCAAAGGTATGTAATGGGACAAACTCAGAGCCTCCAAGAGTTTTCAGAAGGACCCTTCCAGATCCCAGGCAGATCCTCACCAAGACTGCTGACAGAACGCCTCCCCCCTTGCTGAGTCCCGAGACATGCTCCAGTTACCCAGAGACCTTTGCCCTCACTGCTCTCGGTATCACAAGGCAGGAATTGGAACTTACTCCTGCAGCTGCTTTAAAGCATTTTCAACTGGACATAAAGTGAAAAGGAGACATAAGGACAAAAGAAAAATGAAGATCCTTGAAACCTGGGTAGAAATGCAGTTTTCATATGTCCACTGTCTAGGTCCTCTGGAAGTTTTAAGGACATAAGCTATGACCATAGTTGCAGGCTACCCCCATAAGCTATGCAAGATGAATACTGATTGGAATGTTTTTACCTTCAATTCCAATGCGAATGTTTTTCAGGCCCCGTTCCTTTAATACTGTTTTAGCAACATCCCGATTCTCAATGTACTTGAAGAATCTGTAGAGCTTGGAACTATAAAGAACTGTGGGAAAAATGAAAAACGAAAGATCTGGAGTTAGTTATGAAGCAGACTCCATAAGAGGAAGGAGGTGAGCTAACAGACTAATGAAAGTTATATTTCTTTTGGCCCTGATACTAAAAAAATCCAGATGGATCACAGATAAATAGGATATAGAAGGCCTTTCTGGGTAGGACATAAAACCTAGAAGCCATAAAAGAAAAGCTGATACATTCAACTACATAAAAATACATCTCTACTTAGTCAAAACCACTTATTAAAGCTAAAAAGACCATCAACTGAAATATTTGCAACTCATATTACAAAGGGCTAACTTCCTTAATAAACAGAGGTCATAAATAGAGATTACACAAATCTCTAAGTAGAACACTAACAATCCAATTTTGTAATGGGCTAAAGGAAAAAATACAGTTTATCAGGAAAGGAAATTAAAATGGTTCTTTAAAATTAAGATGGTCAGTCTCATTCATGAAATGAGAAATGAAAACCAAAACTCAAATAGCAAATATAAAACTTTAGTAAAACACTGCAGAAAACAAACCTTCATATGTTTTGTGAGTGTAAATTGACTCAAACTTTATGGAGGATAATTTGCCAACATGTAAGAAAATTATAAAAGCACAAAGCTTTTGACAGAAATTTTATTTCTAAAAATATTATTCTACAGAGATATGCACGTATGAAATGATTGTTTTAAAAAAGATATTCACGGAGCATTTGCGATCTTGCTCCCTGGTTTATGTATTCAGTTTGACTCAAATAAACTCATAAAAATTCAAATAAATAAATAAATAAATACATAGCTATTCACTGCAGCATCACTTATAATTTATAGCTTAAATGTCCATCAACAGGACTGATTAAATCAATCATGGCACAATCATGCAATGGAATACTATACAGATATAAAAAAGAGCATGGAGGCTTTTAATATAAGAAATTGTACAGAATAGTCTGTATTCTATACAGTGTCATTTGAAAGAAAGGAAAAACATGAGAAAAACTGGATTGATGAGGCAGAGGTGGGAACAAGACTTCTCTACATAATCCTTCTGTACTTTTTGAATTCTGTATTATCAATTCAAAAGGATTTAAACATGAATGACACCACCATTTAACGTGGTACCTCAGCACTGACACAGTACCAGGCACAGCAGCAGCATGGAAGGCATAACATTCACCATGCTCCCCAACATAACAGTTAGACCTGCATCACTACTCTGCACTGACCATCACTACTCAGCACTGGCTCAACAGAGATATTCACGCTGGTTCTAGCATCTGGCTGCTATTCTGGATAGCATGTTTCTTGCAAAAAATATCTACATCATGCAGGTGGCGCCTACTTTGGGAATATTCCTCTCCCATGGGAGGGGGGTGGTCTTCATCCCAGTCCACAGAATCCTCATCTGTCAGCACAACGATGTGGCACTCTCGCTCCCCTTTCTTGGCACAGCCCACCATGATGGGCAGGATCAGTTCTTCGAGGTAGTGATCAAACTGCTTGTGAGCACCGTCATTAGATAGTTCATGCAACAAAGCACCTAGGGAGAGAAACTGCAGGTGAGCATCCTCTCTCCCTAGTGCATACCAGAATGTTACTGGAGTGAAAAAGATTACGGGGTAATAGCTGCTATCATTGATAGGGCCCAGAGAAGTGACCCATTTTAAGGCAGAGACTGCTTCCTGCTTCAAGATGGTAATTAAGCTGATTTTATTAGATGTATTTCACATTCTACCATTCTTCCCTTTATAATGCTTAATAATCCCTGAGCATTCTGATCAATGAAGGTATTGTTGAACATCAGTGTCATATCATAAAAATTATTTCTACAAGAGATAGAACCATGAATTGGGATGACTCTCTGTAGGACTGCTTCTGACGATCCTCTAGATCCCAATTTCATGGAGTTAAGAGTGCACAGAAGAAGAATCTGAAGCTGGGACTTGCCAAGGGACTTGCTCTAAGTAAATATTAGACCAAGGGACTTGCTCTAAGTAAATACTAGACCCAGCAGAGAATCCACAAGTCCAGAGAACTTCATGGAGTCTGCAGGGAAATGTATCATGAACTTCATAGAATAATTTAAAAACAATTTCAGGGAGCCTAGTAGGTAATGATAAGAGCATGGAGTTTGTAGTTAATCAGTTCTAATTTCAGCTTTTAATGCTTAGAGTTTTGAACAAGCTAACTTCTCAGTCTCATTTGTTAAATGGGGTTATCATCCATCTTTTAGGATAATAGGATTTATACCAAGTTCACATCTCTAAAGCACTTAACAAACATAAGTTAATGGTAATGATAAATATAATTGCTAAGAATCCAGCCAATTTATGCTGTTTAACTTTCCTAGTGAGACTTCCCACAGATGTGAGAATCAGTACCCTTATTTGTTAAAAAGATTGAGACACCAAGGTCTTAAGAGGGGAAGGAATTAGCTTGGTGACTCCTGGGCCAAGCTAGGTTTAGAGCCCACTGCACATTCTCTTGTTTACTGCACGTCCTCAAAATGCTCTGAAGCGTGAGGGAAAGCACTATGCCCCTGCAGATGACTCTGCACTCGTACTTGAGAATCTCTGGTTAGCAGTAAAAAAAAGCAAATCAATTCCAGGCTACCTACGTTCAGCTGCTCCTGTACTCACTCAGATCCTGACACCGGATAGTGTTGAAGTCAAAGTTAATGCAGAGATAATCACACGTATCTCTAAGGTCTGGGATAGAGATGCCATCAGGACAATTGATGATACCAGTTTTGTAATAATCCTGTAAATAGATCAGGAGGAAGAAATTAGGTAAAGAATAAGATGAAAAATTACCTCTTCAACACCTATCCATTGCTGGCTCTGTTAAAGTGATGGGTTACTAGCACTATTACCAAGTTGGTTGATTCACTAATGGCAAAGTGGCTCCTGGATGTCCTGACATGGTAAATCACAACTTGATACCTGATTGAGAATACTTAAGTTACAGGAATAAAAAGTAAAGCGGGAAAGCCAGTCACTGGAAACTAGAGACCGTAAAGTCAGTAACAGTCTGGACTCTCAGGGCTTCTGACCATGGGGCCCAGGGAAGGGCCCAGGGAAGAGGGTGTAACAAAGAGGCTCCTACGCACCAGCACCGTTCGAAAGACAGTTGCGCTGATTCCTTCGGCGATTTCATACTCCCCCTTCTCGTTGGGCCGAGTGAAGTTGTACTCTCTTCCTGGTCCAAACATCCTGAAAGACACCAGGCAACAGCGTGACCTTCTCCAGCAGGATTCCCCCTCCCCCAGCGTCAGTTAACAGCACTGGGACCCAGCCTCCAGGCGTACTCAGGTCTCAGGAAAGGCCCTTCATACGGGAAAAGAAGGCAGCATTGCTTTCAGCGGGGGCATGACGCAGCCCTGGGCAAGTGTCTGCAGCCTGTGAGGCTGCCCCTCCCGAGCTCCCACCGCTGGGAACCTGCCTGTGTGTGCCCGCAGCTCAGAGACACAGGGTCTCACGCTCCTGCCTTTCTGATTCCCTTTCCTCTATTAGCATTTGCCAATTCTCAATATTCCTGAGCTCTGCTTTTCAACCTCTAATGTGATAGATGAATCTGTGTTAATAGGTACAGACATGTTAATGCTTCCCCTTTCCTGGTACGTTTCAGTGGCGGAGCTCTGGGGGAAATGCCCTTCTTCAAGCCAAGGAGTAACGCTGACTAAGGGAATTTCGGGTCCCGTGGAAAAGGAGGGAGGTGCTAGGCTCAGCAGTTTGACGTATTTCAGAGAGGCAGGCCCGCTCTGGACAGGAGCTCAGAGGTCATGAGGGTCTGAGAAGGAGATTGCTTTTCTGATTCCCCTTTCCCCATTCTTCCTCCTCCTCTCAGACACCCAGGAAAACTGGCCCCAGGACTCTGACTCCTGCTGCACCCGGGTGGGAAGGGAACACAAGGGCGGGCAGAGTTGCCAGCTGCAGCAGCCGGACTTGAGTGCTCAGTGGGGACGCACTGCTGTTTCCTTCCTTAACCTGCTGGGGAGCTCTGCTGCTCAACTGCTCAAAACCGTTCGCCTCCCCTCTGAATTGGCTACTTTTAAAGACCTGAAAAAGACTCCATTCTACATGCTTTCCAAATCACTAGACCAGTGGTCAGCAAACTCATTAGTCAATAGCCAAATATCAACAGTACAACAATTGAAATTTCTTTTGAGAGCAGAAAACCGACTTCTGCGCATGGGCCACGAAGTTTCAATCACACTGTACATGTGTGCCCGCACGTAGTATTTTGTGGAAGAGCCCCACACTCAAGGGGCCAAAGAGCTGCATGTGGCTCGCGAGCCGCAGTTTGCCAACCTCTACACTAGACCATACATAAGAAATCCATCCTGGTAAAAACTGTCTTCAAAGAATGCTAACATTTTTCTGGACCATTCTAGCTAAAGTCTAGCTGAGTCAGCTATGAATCAAAATAGTGAATAAATGCAGTATGAACCCCTTCCATCCGCAGGACCTAGTTCTCCAATAGTGGCATGGATCTGCATCAGTCCATCCTTGATCTCTCAACTTGTATCCTCTGTGGCTAGTGAGTGGTCCACATCCGTAAGCACAATGGCTGGCCTTACGAATACTGCTATGTAGCCACAGGACAACAAACCTAAGTAACTCTCAGAATTCATGACTTTGGCACTCATAAATGATGAACCATTTAGATAAAGAAATCCGACTCTCGGGACAACCCATTCCTAGAATCAAAGAACCACTGTTGGCCAAGAATCTATTACCCAGATAATGCTGCCACTTTCAGAGGAAGCCTACCTCAGCTAGCCTGCCCCGGGGAATTACACAGGAACACTGCCCACCCCTCCCCCGGGGTGGGGGGAGGAGAGACATTAATGGTGGTGATACCAAGACTGAGCACAGGAAGTCAAGTCTGATAAAATACAAGGCCAATTTAGAAAATGATTTAATGTTCTCATTTAATCTTAATTCAGATGTTTGAGAAACATATAGGTTTGGTTTTGGTTAAAAATGGCTCACCATAAATTTGTATGTATATGTTCAAGCAAACACATATTTGAATAGCTGGATCCCATTTGGCCTAAGATTCAGGAAAATTAGTGTAGTCACTCTGATTTCTAATTCAGTTCAAATTAGTTCAATATCCTGAGTGAAGTTAAATCTTTAAATAACATCTACTTCTAAGTAGATAAAAATCCTTAAGAGTCAAATGTGTGTGTACACACACACACACACATTATTATTTTACTCTTATCCCACATGCGCCTCCTCACGTTAAGCTCTACGACCGCCGGAAGGAGGGTCTCCTACTTCCAGCCCAGGCTCCAAGCGCCTGTGGACAGTGCTCCTGTGGGCAGGCTCTTTCCATTCCCCAGATTCTAACCCTGAAAAGCTGGGCAGGGGCAGTGAGAAGAGGATAGGACTATAGTCTGAATGTAACATGAAGAATAAAGAAACAACAGAAAAACCAGATATAAAGATTCAGTTTCAGAAAACAAGTAGTGATGAAGGCATCAGAAAATGACAGTAAAACATCTACTTCCAATATAACTAGCAATAGCAGGCAGGCAAAATACTGCTTTTCAGTGAAATGGCTTTGTTATGTCCTGTGAAACCTTTGTCTAATTCTATTTTTTATTAAAAGGCAAAAGACGGAAGAAAGATGAACTCGATTTACAGTTCTCACTTTATCCCAGGATCTTTGACTCAGAGAACTCAGAAAACATTGCTTTTGGGAGGTTATACAAATTGTGAATAAGATAAATTAAGTATTGACTTCCGTTTTAGAGTGAGTTTATAGAGGAACAGGGAGTGAGATTTAACAGATTATTTCTCACAGTTCTGGCTACACTTCCTTCTTTTGTTCACTATACCGGCTTTATAAATAAGATACCCAGCTCCCTACATTACCAACACATGTACGTTTTGTAGCAGCTTACCCTCCTCTCACCAAAGGAGGAAGGCAAGAAATCAGCAAACCTTTCCATTTTCACATCTAAAGCAAGATAGACATCAGGTATTTCAGTCACAGAGAACAGAGTGCATTTTGAAGGGAAGTATCATCAATTACCTTCCCAACATGGTATCCGGGTGAGCAGTGAAAATTTGCGGATTCACCACAAAACGTGTGCCATCTACAAGAAGTGTCACTTTCTCTGGCGCCTGGGCATGAACATTACCGCCAAAGCCCGTAGTGCTGTTTCCAAATCGTTCTGGAGCGATGAAAGGTTCATAGCTCCGTTTGTTCCCACTTGGGAAGCAGGAGCCTTTGCTGTCTTCAGGATGTGGCATCATGTGAGGGAACTGGAGACCTGCTGGCTGAGGGGCATAGTCCAGTGAAAGGTCTAAAAGATACAAACCAACCAAAATAACTCAATCGCAAAAGCCTTGGGGGAAAATAAACCGTTTTCTTTAAAAAACAATAAGAGATTAAACAAAACCCCCATACATGTTTAGGGGCAAACAGGTAAAAACTCTTGCCTAGAGCAAGTAAAGAAAAAATATAACAAGAGACTTATATTGGATTCCCCTGAGCTTTTTTCCACTCATGCCAAGTGTGTGTGTGTAGAAGGGGGATAAAGGTAGTACTGTCCACATTTCAAAATAAAATGGTTAAAAAATTTAAAAGTAAACTTCAATATGGTTTAAAAAAATTAAAACACTAGAGACAACTTTCTGTGGAAAACCAGCAATCCCCTGCACACCCCATGGCCACCCCAGTATTGACAGTATTGTTACTTCTGTTTTCACTTCTCTAAATAATACTTATATTTCCTGTGTTGTATTTGTGCTACCTCTGGTGTGCCAAAACCATTGACTTTCTACATTTAAAAAAAATGTTTCCAAATTTTATTTTCTAAAAAGACAATGATAGTCTATTGTCAATGCCTCACTTGTCCTAGACGCCACAGAGAAATGCATGTTCACTGTGCAAAGGAGCATCCTAACATCACCACCACCACTCTGAACAGGCAGGTCTTGCAATCAGCTGCAAAATCCCCATGCAAATGGCCTTGGATTAGCATTCATGCTCAGTTATTGTATCACCAAAAAGCTATTTTCTTTAAGTAATTTATTTTTCTAAACCTGTTTCATCATCTCTAGAATAGTTCATTCCACCTACCTCAAAGGATTGACTAGCAACTGAAAGAATGTGAGAGCACTTAAAAACCAACCACACCACATCATGCAAGAGACTTAAGATGGAATAAATGAACTCTGGTGTACACAGGAGATTGGGAATGAGATGTAACATATTATTTATCATAATTCTGGCTGCAAGGAGCCAGTGTTTACAAAAGGATTCCCAGAGGATGCTCTTATTTTTTATTTATTTTCCTTTTTTGTTAATCCTCACATGAGGATATTTTCCCCCCATTGCTTTTCAGACAGAGTGGAAGGGAAGGGGAGAGATTGAATGAGAGGAGGGGAGGAGAAGACACACTGACTGGTTGACTCCTGCATGCAGCCCAACTGGGACGGGAAGCAAACCTGCAACCCAGGTACATGCCCTTGACCAGGAATCAAATCCTCAACCCTTCATTTTCCGTGTCAGTACTCTACCCATTAAACAACACCGGCCAGAGCTCAGAGGATGCTTCAATAGGTAATTTTCCTAATATATTTTATTTTAATATAAAAAATATTTTTTTAATAAAAAATTTCAAATATAGAAGCATAGAGTTAATACCACACGTATATGCCATTACTTTGATTTGGCAAGCTCAGTTAACATTTCTCCTTTCTTCAAACCTTTTTTGGAAAGATATAAAATATTATAGATACAACTAAATTTCTCATTCCCACCCTTCCTATATTTTAAATTTGCATACAATATTTCATGAACATGATTACTGCCCGTGACTTCTGGGGAATTAAGTCTGATTAACACCCCCCTTCTCCCCCTCCCACTTGTTTCTGGAGAAAAGGAACCCAAAATCTCCCAAAAACCAATTTAGGGTTTATATCCTACAGCTTCTGCAGGACTTAAATTTTCAATGTGGCCCTGATTTTGCATACCAAAGTCCCCACACAATCCACAGTCAGGCTTGTGTCAAGAAACACCTTAATCACCAGACAGGCTTTCACACTGGCAGTGCCATTCTTAGAAATAAAAGTAGGTATCTAAATCACTAATTCAGTTCTCTAAAAATCTTGATTTGCCCCCAGCAATGAAGCAATTAAATTAGGTCGATTCCTGAAGGATGCCTCAGGTTCTATCCTTAAACAGGTGAACAGGAAAAGAGATCACTGTACAACTTCTCTCTAATGGTGCACTCTAGGGGGCAGTGACTCCGCTTGTCTATCAGCTGATATATATATATACACATACACACACACACACATAATCAGGCATGCTATTGTGTGTGTGTGTGTGTGTATATATATGGGTAGAGTACTGACACGGAAAATGAAGGGTTGAGGATTTGATTCCTGGTCAAGGGCATGTACTGGGTTGCAGGTTTGCTTCCCGTTCCCACCTCCACCAGGTTCCCACTCCACCAGGTTCCCATATCACTGATAGACATATATCAACTCTCAGTCCCCCACATCCTAGCAGTGCGAATCCGAGCAAGTTACCCACATTTCGTCATTTTTTATTTTTAAAATATATTTTATTGATTTTTTACAGAGAGGAAGGGAGAGAGATAGAGAGCTAGAAATATCAATGAGAGAGAAACATCGACCAGCTGCCTCTTGCACACCTCTTACCGGGGATGTGCCTGCAACCAACGTACATGCCCCTGACAGGAATCCAACCTGGGACCTTTCAGTCCGCAGACCAACGCTCTACCACTGAGCCAAACCGGTTTTGCACATTTTGTCATTTTTAAAAGGAGAACTACTCTAAGCAGGGGTTGGCAAACTTTCTATCAAGACCCAAAAAGTAAATATTTTAGGCTTAATGGGTCAGTCTCTACCATTGTAGCAAGAAAGCGGCCACAGACAATATGTAAACAAATGGGCATGATGGCTGTATTTCAAAATTTTATCGAAAAAAAAGTAGGCAGCAGTCCAGATTCGACCACAGTCTGCCACTCTTGATCTAAAGGGATGTATAATATGTAAAATTCCTAGCACAGTGAGCGCTCAATAAGTGGTGATTGCTATTATTGTCGCTACTGTTTTTATTTAAAAGTTAAAAAGAGCCCGGTCAGTATGGGCCAATGGTTGACCCGTGGATCAGGAGTTCCCCAGTTCCACTCCCAATGGAGCACAAGCGCAGGTTGCAGGCTCTATCCCCAGTGGGGAACGTGCGGAAGGCAGCCAATCGGTTTCTTTCTCATCAATGTCCCTCTCTCTAAAAGAAAGTTTACAAGACCCTTCGCATCCATTAACTCTAATATTCTAGCCTTGTGAAGTCAGAAGAATATTATATCCTTGTTTTCTAGATTAAGAAAGCAGGGCTCAGAAAGATTAGCATCTTTCCCATGGTTACAGCTGATAGGTACAGAGGTAGAATTTGAACCTGTCTTTTGCTTGCAAACCCATGACTGTTTTTCTCCCACCACTATGCCTAGGTTAGATGTTCTAGATTGACTGAATAAGTGGAGATTTTCTGTGATGGTTAGCTTTATGTAATTGTGAAAGGTAAGCTAAGCCAATTAACTGGATATGTTATTTATAAAGATTAAGGACATTTATGTCTTCTGGGCAGAGTGGATGCTCAGGCGTCAGAAAGCCCTCTACGTTAAGCCAATATCTAGTCTCTGTACCATCACTCCTGGGAGTCAGCGGATAAGCAAGCCTTTGAAGACCAGAAGTCAGGCTATTAGTTTCCTTTTCTTGGGCTGCAGCTGAGGTTCCATCCATCAGGCAGCTGGCCTCCTGCAGCAATGACCTGTCACTCTCACTGCCACGATGCACATTCATCCTTGGGCTCTATGCTGATCTGTCCACCTGATCAGAAAAAAAACCTGCAAGACAGGAATATGCATGATTTAGAACTCTCTCAAAACAGGTTTCCAAGGACTTCCATGGCATGAAAGCCAAACTAGAGAACTAACAGGCAGCTCTCATTCTTGTTCTGGAAGAAATGACAGCATAAACATCTCTGTGATTTATATTGAGAGGAACTGGCTGATTTAAATGGTCTCTTGAGAAACCTGTTATTAGAGAACTAGAGGCCCGGTGCACGAAAATTTGTGCAGTGGGGTGTGTGTGTGTGTCCCCTCAGCCCGGCCCTCTTGCAGTCCAGGACCCCTCAGGGGATGTCTACCTGCCAGCTTAATGTTAAGCTTTATCCACAGACATTGAATGCACTCACTGACTTTGCCCACATTCATGATCAATTCTATATATTAAATGGTGGTATTTATACTACAGAGACATAGGAGAAGAGTGCAATTGATCACTTAAAGAAAACCTGCCATATATATATATATTTAAAAATAAATCTTTATTGTTCAGATTACAAATGTTCCTTTTTTTTTTTCTCCCTCCATTGTTCCCCTCCACTAGGTCCCCACCCCACCCTCTGCCCTTTCCCCACCCCCCATTGTCCTCATCCATAGGTGCACAGTTTGTCTTCAGTCTCTTCCCACACACCCCCACTCCCCTTTTCCCTGAAAATCGTCAGTTCGCTCCCCTTCCATACCTCTGATTCTATTATATTCAACAGTTAATATTGTTCATCAGATTTTTTTTTAATTCCCTTAGTTTTTAGATTCACTTGTTGATAGTTAAGTATTTGTTCATAATTTTTCTCTTTATTTTCTTTCTCTTCCGAAAGAACCCCCTTCAGCAATTCATATAATTCTGGTTTGGTGGTGATGAACTCCTTTAGCTTTTTTATTTATTTATTAGTGAAGCTCTTTATCTGGCCTTTGATTCTGAGTGATAGCTTTGCTGGGTAGAGTATTTTTGGCTGTAGGTTCTTGCTATTCATCACCTTGAATATTTCTTACCATTCCCGTCTGGCCTGCATGGTTTCTGTTGAGAAATCAGCTGACAATCGTATGGGTGCTCCCTTATAGGTCACTACCTGCTTTTCTCTTGCTGCTTTTAATATTCTCTCTTTGTCTTTTGCTCTTGGAATTTTAATTATGATTTGTCTTGGTGTGGTCCTCTTTGGATTTCTTTTGTTTGGGGTTCTGTGCGCTTCCTGGACTTGTAAGTCTAATTCTTTCACCAGGTGGGGGCAGTTTTCTGTCACTATTTCTTTCAGTATGTTTTTGATATCTTGCTCTCTCTCATCTTCTGGGACCCCCATAATTCTGATGTTGGTTCGCTTGAAGTTGTCCCAGAGGTTTCTTACATTATCTTCAATTTTCTGGATTCTCTTGCCTTCTAGCTTCTGTGGAGGAGTGTCTTCTGGCTCTTTATGTTCCAAATCTTTGACTTGATTCTTGTGATCTTCCATTCTGTTTTTAGGACTCTGTATAATATTTTTTATTTAAGACAATGTATTCTTTATTTCTTGTTGATCCCTTATTGCCATATATTTTTTAAAATTGAGACACACCTACTCCTGCAAGTGAAGCAAAAAGAAATGCAAAGCAATCACAACGATAATGCCAGCATGAGAGCCGAAACCAGAAGTCACCTGCACTTTAAAAAGTTCTCGCACTTTCTGTTAATTATGCTCAATCCCCAAGACCTACCTCAAAATTACACCATGATGTCAATGGACACAGGCTAACTCCCCCTCAGCAGTGCACTATAATCATGAATGACACCTACTGGCAAATGCCACGTGCCAGGTATTCGCCAATGAGGCAGGACAGAGACAGGAGGCGATATATCTTTCCTCCAGGTAGTCATGCTGGCAGCCCTTCACCTTGGGGGCTATCCAACTACTGAAAACATTCCTGAAGTTCAACCTACCCAGGACTTCCACCGTTTATACTCTACTATTTCCTACTTGTTTTGGTGGAAGAATCATCTTACATCACCAGCAATTTTTATGCATATGGATTGCAGGCTAACAACAATTTAGAAAGAAGTTTGGTCATGAAGGGCAGTAACATGTTTTAATACTTTTAATTTCCCTGACATGCAAGTATGTAGATGTGCCAATAAATATTTGTATTGTGAATTGAATTCTTCCTTTCATAGCTTGTATTGATACATTTTTTAGCATAAAGTTGATAGACTAGTTAATCCTTGTTTTAACTTGGATAAAATATAAAAATGAACACGTTGGAAAGATGAATCAATACATGTGCCTGAAAACAAACTTTTTTAAAGAAGAGATACTTTCAGTTGATGAAATCTTTTCAGACCATGGTTCTTATAAACATTAGGCAAATTGAGCCAATAGATGAATGTTCTGACAGAAAACTTGGTATGTGGGTACAGCTTTTTTTAGGATTAACCTTTCTTAAAGAAAAAGCATATTTTAGTACACACAAAAAATGCAGCCACTTAAAATTTATTCTGGAGATTGGTAAAGTCAAACAGAACCACTACTGCTCTCAAGTTCGCTTCAGAAGATGCCAAAATCAGGTCTACAGAACAGGATAAAGAATAGTCATGGAACTGGAAAGCACATTTCCTACCAATATTGAAAGATCAAAAAAGGATTTGCTCCTTTAAGCTTAACTGGTTTGAACTATAACGTTTCACTCAACCTATAGCTGCTGCTTCTCAACCCTTAACAGCTCAAGAACCAAGTTCAAACTTCTCTTTGTTGCTCTCAAAAGAGCTCTTGGACCAAAATATAAGCTTAAATAAGCCTATCTCTTGAAAATTTGCAGTGCAGACTGCTTGTATATGTTACTTCATTTATTCCTTATAATATGAGAAAAATAATTTCATTGTAATGGACTAGAATAAAAATACTTTCTTCCTATTTTATAGTACTGAAGCTCAAAACTCAGTCTAACTTGTATACAGTCAATTAATAAATATAAAGATACTCGAGGCCCGATGCACAAAATTCGTGCAAGAGTAGGCCCTGGCAGCCAGGCTGCTGCCCCAGCTTTGTCCGGAAGGAAAAAAAATAAAAGAACTGAGCAAAGTACTTGAACAATATAGTTCTCTATTGCTACAACACTATTTCTGGCCAACAGTCCTAAAAGACAAATACAAGAAGCAAAGGATCATGACATCCCTGGCACACCTAACAGTCACTGGAGAGACTGCTTCAGAACACAACTGGGAGTTAGAAATGTATTAATGAAACTGTTTAGCTAAGAAGCAAACCAGCTCAAGATTCACCTCCACATCTCACAGAAAAGAATTTATACATTCCGAAGAGCTACACAAATATATTTATTATTTATTTTACAGGCCTCCTATGAAGACCCACATTTTAAGTCTTGGTTTTGCTGATCTGAAACAGCAAGACATTTAGCATCATAATCTCCCCATCTTGGAAAATTAACATAAAATTTTTGCTAGTGGAATTATCTCCACATATTCCTTGCACTTAGGACACACTGGTTTTTCTCTAGAACACTGTCATCTTGAGTATTAATTCAAAATAATCTCTAGATAACAAATTATTTTCTTTCTACTTGCAATTTCCTCTGATTATTTCTGAAGAAGAGAAGATAATCAGATCACTGTTCCATTAAGTTCAATATCTTGCCATTGAACTATTCAGATTTTAAAAATCCAGGTGGAATAGGGTTGGGGACAATTAAACTTAACATGGATGCATTTCAAAAGCATTATGCTTTCAGACTGTTAATGGTACAGCATCTGATCTTTTACTTCAGGGCCAAGTCCCCTCTCTGCCATAGAAATTGGTAAATAAACAACTCCCTTCATCTATAATTCATAATTAAATTCAGAAAGTAATTATATCTTTGCCAGATCTTCATTTCAGATACAAATCCTAGTCCTTTTCCAGTCTGCTCTTATGTGAAAACACCTACATTTCCTTTACTGCTCTAGTGGCCTATTGGTTTTGGTCTAGTTCCATTTTCAGAGCAATGAGAGCCCTGCTAATGCTTTCTATCAGAGGTGAACAGATTCCATTTGCTTCTCATGTGCTCTCTGGTCATACCCAGGATTTCTGGTTAAAAGGATTTGTGAAAATAGAGGGAGAGACAACAGAGGTGATAGAATACAATCTAAAATGTCTACATGATCACCTTCTAGGATATTACTGACTGATAGCTAAGAGGCTACCATCTTCAAAATGTACTCTGGGTATGTGTGTTTAAATATTTATATCTACGAAACTATATCTATCTCGCTATATGGAATTCATGTATTATTGTTATTTTTGTTAATCCTCACCAGAGGATATTTTCCCATTGATTTTTAGAGAGAGTGGAAGGCAGGAGGAGAGGCAAAGAGAAACATCAATGTGAAATGTTTTTAAACCAACTCCGTTGAAGCTTTTCTGTCACGTTTCTATTCTTTCCCTTTGCCTGTACAGCCCTAATGTTCCAGTCTCAGAAGAAATTGTCTTCTGACTATTTAAGGTCTTGTGATTTCCCTTTTTCCTTTTCCAGATTATTTCTAAAAATATTGAGTAAGACCACTCCAGGATTAAGCCCATATAAATTTTATTCTTAACATTTCTAAATCTTGGAGTTTTCCTGTTTTATATCCCCAAACCCATAGTAATTTAGTTGTCTGACTCGGTAAAGAGAGAAAAGAAACCTTTGTAAGTTATTTCCACTTGGTCCTCCCTTCCCACATAGAACTGTCTTCCTCAAAGAACTCTGTCAGATGGTGAGACGTAACTACTTTTTATAGATTTCTTGCTACATTTCCCCCCAAATCTGATCTTCCATATGGCTCTACCTTTTATACCTCTGGCCCTGGGCAGATTCTTCTGTGTCTCAACTTGCTTGCTCACTTGTAAAAGAGGATAAACCACACCGATTGTTATAAGAATTAAATGAGTTAATACATTTGAAGTGCTCATTATGATGCCTGGCATACAGCACTCAATAAATGTTGATTATTGTTAT